AACAATGAATTAAAAATAGTAACCAAGAATATAATCTGCTTGACAAAAACTATGGAAGCCCCTCAAAAGCGTGTTGAGTATGCTTATTTTGTAGTTGGATACTTTATTTTAAAAATCCATAAAATAGTTCTAGATACATTTTCAGATATCTTGAAAGAGGGGAGATACCTGATAGAAGTTTTGCTTCAGTCTGACCATTTCAACTTCATGAGGAGAAGCAGCAGCAACTGGAAGCAAATTTCAGTTAAAGCAAAAAACCAAGGAAAACTTAGAAAGTACTATTTAAAGAACATATGAAGTGCCAACACTCAGCTGAGTGTAAAGTACTACCCAAAAATACGTATGAAAGCTAAAACTCATTGTTTTGTATTAGCTATGAGGTAAAATGGACTCATCAACTGTCAGAGGCTGGGGTGTGTTTGTTATCTTTTGATGCCTGCTTTGTGTGTTTGAACTCTGTTAATAAGTTGGTAAATAGGATGCTACTTATATCCTCAAATACTTGATGCATTTGGGCTACGAAGAGAGAAGCAGGATGATAAAAATAGTATTCTTTAATACCAGCTTTGGTATCAAATAACCTTTCCTGGTTCTGGACACTTGTGTTTAATGTGAATGTTTCTCATTTAGCATACATCGGGGCGTGTTGCCTTTTGACCTAGGAGTGTGTTGTCTGTCTAATTATCCTTTGTATTGTTTTACTGTTCCTTGCAACTATCCAAACAATTTGGTGTGGCCCTAGCAACCAAACAATACTGTTTAACAAAGATTTCCTTATGGCACTTGCTCCCAGATTTCCCACGTAGCAGTAGCTCACATCAGAGCAAACAAACAGGATATTGTTTCAAGTGAATAATGTTCAAGTTTTCAAGTGATTTATGAAAATAGGTTTTTAATTTTGAACTGTTGCAAGTGGTAGGGTTTCTGGTTCCAGATTTCATCTCAAGTTCTGCAGAGTGGTCTGTGTTTTGAAGCTTCAAAACAACGTTTGAGACATTTTTTGTGGCAGCTAAGAGTAAAGAATGGCTTATGCTGTGATGGCAAAGAATAGCAGAAAGAAATTACTTAATCCTGTCCCATAATGAGATTTTTTTTCCCATTAAACATATTTAAAATCCACATAGACCCTTCCTACAATGTTATCGATTGCAGCGTCATGAGTAAATGAATCCCACTGAACATAATTATACTAGATAATAATGTTGTTTGACCTAGTTAAGAAATCCGATAATAGATTTGGACTTTTCTCTAAGGAACCGTTATATGTCTTCTTATTAAACACAGTCAAACTCCCTCCCATTTTTCTCTCCTGCGTGTTTGTTTTCTGTGTGTGTTTTACTAACTTAGTAGTTTTACAAAGCAGATAAAACCATGAACATTGTAATATGCAAGCAAGGGTCATGAATGTGAACCATTAGTGCTGTCATGAATTAGAGTCCTCAGCAAGTTCATGGATGAAAGTACATTCTAGTAATTTCTTCTGTCTTTTGCATAATTTGGCAATTTAACAAAACTAAGATATTTGTGGCAGTGTTTATAATTGCTTCAGTTTGACAGTTTTCCCTTGTTATTTTACGGGATAGGTTTATTACCACCTGAAGAGTTTTGTGCCTGTGAACACTGAGGTTAGGAACACATATGACTGTAGGATAACCTTGACTCTGTTTTGCTGCTGGAAGAGTAAAAAGGCAAGTCTTGTCCCTGCATTAACTCTCCTCTTTGTGCTGGCACACATGTATGTGTGGTATGTGCACTGTACAACTGATGTGGTGTAAAATTAATGTGTGGACAATAATTAATACACATGCTCCTTTTCCAGTTCAGTTCATCGCACAGCTGCACGCTTGTGTTTGCTTGCACAGGAGGAGGGTGGTTCAGGGAGTGAGGTGGTTGGGAGGGATTGCATCCCTTGACAGTACTGCAGTTTATGCCATCTGAAGGGGGCTGTGTGAAACTATAGCTAAGGGGTGGGGTCTGTGGCATTGCTGGTGGATCTAAGGCTGTCCTGCCACTGTATTTCTTTGGCTTCATGGTCCCGCCCTCTGCCTTGCACTGAAATTTCTGCAGCACTTATGGGAGCTGGTCGGGTTGTTGTCTAGTTGCTTCTTTTTTCTTGCTGAGGTTAGATTTTTGTCCAATTTACCCATTCCTTATGATGCCCCATGAGCCTGGGGAGAGGATTTGCCTGGGTTTAGATCAGTCTGGACAACCTTGGGGTTTCATCCTTAGTGAGAGAAGCCGTTTTATAGTTTTGAAAGTTAACACGCTAAGATGATCCCTTATTGAAGATTAATTTACTAATGTGAAGTAAAGATAGTACTTCGAAGATAATCAGCTCTCAATGTTTTACTGATCCTTAAATGACAGTGACTTTTTGAAAGTGATATTTTGAAAACTGAGGATAAAAATGTATTGTGTAAACACACTACTAAAGACTTGCCTACGTGAAGTAAATCTAAATATAGTTTTGAATTAAGGAGCACAGCAGTCTTCCTTAATTTCTCTATAGCGTAAAAACAGTTTGTGAGTATCAGCTTCTCACTCTTCAGGAGTGGGAATGGACTGGAGCTCTGGCATGTTCCTTCAGTCTGGGTAATGGGAGGATTATGACATACTCCAGTAGGTAAGTCTAGAATGACCTGAAGCAGCTCCTTGCTAAATTTCTTCTGACCAGACATAGCTAATGATGTTCAAAAGGAGATTTAAACCCTCTCACCTCTTTCAAGTCTGATTGCTTCAATTTGTGATTTAAAATAAAATAATTCAATTTGTTGATCAGAGCAGAACTTCAGCTTTCTTGGAAACTCGTATTTAGGATAGAAGCAACTACCTGTGTTATGGATCTTTAGCTACTCACATTTTTATTTTTGTTTATCTGCAGATGGAGATGAAAGGAGAGTTGTTCAAAATCTCTGTGTTGAAGCATTTTTCTGTTTTACCTATCTCATAGCTGGTATTTCTGTTTGTTACCTGCTATGGCAAGGAAGGATATATTCCTTCTTTTCACCTCTTCGCAAACCTCTGTGCTCTCATTCTTGACACACAACGCATCTCTCTTGTTTCCTGGGCTGCCTTTGGAAGAACTGGGGCTTAAGGATGACAAGAGTACAGATGCTGGAGAATGTAGACATTGCGAAGAAATGAAATATTTTTTGAAGTGCCTGACACATTTATGCTTCCGTACTGAGGGATGAGCAAATCATCAGATGTGGGATGAGAATTTCTTTTCTTTGAAGTCAAATGTTTTGGGTTGTCATTTTTCTTTTGCAGCATGTACTTTGTCCTGTTTCTTAACGCTTTGTGTACTTCCATCTAGTGAACCTCCATTGTGGGGATCTAGATCATAGCAGTGTCTGTGATGTCCTCTTGCCTGGGCTATGTGGGACATGCTTTTCTGTGTCTTTTAGGATCTCTGTTAATGAGATCAGAGCGCTAGATTGAAGTGTTTGGGGATGGTGAGAAATGTTTTATGGCATGTGTAGTTTACGTGTTGTTCTGGTGTTACCCCCAGTTCCTGGGAACGCAGCTGTGTGACCTTGGCAAGTCCTTCAGGCCTTGAAGAAGGCATACTTAAGTTTATGTGTAGGAAAAAAATATACATTACTGCAACTAAACAGCAAGTTTGAGCATTAACATAGAGAAAAAAACAGGTCATATGTAGTACTCCCAACATTATGCAAGGTAACCTTCCTATTTGAAGGTCGTTGGGGTGGGGGGCGTTCAGTTTTCACTCCTGCAGAATTGCTCCCTTCACTAATGCGTTTGATAAATGGTAAATTTCAATGGAAGTTGAGGAAGTCTGCGTTATGTTATGTAAGATGTAACTTTATGAATTGGGAGAAGAAATGATAAGTGGCAGAGACTCAAACTTGAGCAGATGTGAAGTACCAAAGGTTTGGTCTCCATGGCAACCAGTATTTTCATAAGTATGAATAAACTGAACACTGAAATAATGTTTAAGTAAAAGTTCTATTATTAAATAATATTAAGTAAAATAATATTTAGCTAATAGGGTTTGCACATGTAAAAATTTAGAACATGTAAAAAAATTTGCAAGTTAAGCAAAATAGACCAGGTGCATCTCCTCACACTTTACCTGCAAAAAGCCTTAAAAAAGCTTACCTGAACAAATCCTGACATGTAATAAAATAAACTAGACTGACACCAGGCTCAGACTATGACTCCTCTTAATATCAATAGATAAGAATTGTTAATAACAATTCCTAATTCCTAGTATTTTTTACCTAGAGGTGAAAAAATAACCTCTGTGGTCATGGAATATAGTAGAGAAATATCAGACCTCTCTGGGTACATCAGGGTCATCTTTAAGAGATGTCAGCATTTATTTCGACTTACAGTGTACAAGACAAGAATTGCAGTTTATTACTCTAATTGTTGTGTGTGTTAGACTCACGTGTGAGTGTGTCCTGAAACATGATTTTCAGTACTGCAGTTAACATTGCTGGCAGCTTTGATAATAAATGAGTACTTAGGAAGAAAAAGGTAAAGGTGAATGACTATGTAAATTTCATACATGACAATTTCAGTATAAAGGTGAAAGCATTAATTCATAGCAAAAAAACATATACATGTTCTATAAAAATGGAGTCAAGCAGATGCCTCTGACAATATAGAGGGACCCTATATTGTAACCCTTTATTCAGTGTAACCCTTTACATTCAACCTTTTGATTTTTAGTCATACTTGACCTGAGGGTACCATATGTTGAAAGCTCTGATCTTTATCATGGTCATCATAGAGCATTTTATCTTTAACAAAAGTGAGCTACATTGTAAATCCTCATGCAACTTGAGTAGAAATTCCCACATAATTAACCAACCAAAAAAATTCTTGTTGTATGTTACAGCTAGTTATTTCCTTGTTCTGGTTTAGAGAATTTACTGTGTGAAAATGTGTCTGTGATGAACAGGAAAGTAACAGCATTGTGTTTAGAAGCTCTGCTTTATAGCTTGGTGTTTTTTTGTTTTTTTCTCTTATAGCCTCCGCGCCACCCAGCAGAGTAAATAAACGTAGAGTTTCTCCAAGTGTTGTTTCCACCTGGGAGAAGAGAGGCATCATCATGTCTAACATTACTATTGATCCAGATGTCAAACCTGGCGAGTATGTCATCAAAAGCCTCTTCGCTGAATTTGCTGTTCAAGCTGAAAAGAAAATTGAACTTGTAATGGCTGAACCTTTGGTGAGTCCTTTTTTTTACAGTATGCTGTGAAATAGTCCTGCTTTTTTTCTAAAATAGGCTGATTTATCGTATGTATGGTTACTGAAAAAAAAAAACACATCCCCAGGTACTGACTTTTTTACTCAAAGAATAAAAAAGCTTCTGCAAACATGGTTGCTACCTGATTATGTTTTATTGACTTGAGTTAAAATTGTTATGTAGTAGTTACTGGAAACAAGACCTCTTAGTGTCCGTAAGTTCTGTGAAGTTATAAAAGGAAATAGCAGCAACAGAAAGTGTTCCTTCATTAATACTGTGAAGTGTGTTTCCTGTTAGTGTTTCTTTGAAGTAGTAGTTGGACAATATACTTCCAAGAGAAGATGCATTTGGTTTGTTTTCCAAAGTAGTCAGCATATATTGCAGATAAGGCAAAAATGCAAAATTCTCTTGGTCATCCAGGCTGCATGATCTTGAAATAAATGGATTTCTTTTAATTTGTTAATCTCTGGGGGGGAAAAAACCCCACAGCAAACCCAACTTTTTTTTTTTTTTTTTTTTTTTTTTAAACTTGGAAATCTGTTGAGTAGCTCAAACACTGGGGCTTGCAGAAGCCTGGCTCACAGAAGGCTTCTGTTTGGAACTCCTGCTTTCTGAAGTGTTCCTGTGCAGAAGTGCATATGTGAGCTCTTGAGCCCCAGTTTTGAAACGTCAGGAAAAAATGTTATTAAGCAGCAGCACAAAAGAACACAAAAATGGGCTAAACATGTTTTCTGGGGTCACTGATGGAATTATCTTCAACTACAGCTGTTAGTAGAACAAAAGCTGAAGGAAATGAAACATTTCTTTATATGCACCTAACTTAGATGTACATTATACATATGTTTTTGTGCACCAGGCAAGCCTATAACTTAAACATAGCTTGTCTCTTTAAGCAAAGAGACATCCAAAAGAGTCATGTATTCAGGAGGGTTTCATAAGAAAGCACAGAAACTTTGTGGCAAAAGAGGCACGCAAGTAGTGAAGGGTACCTGGCTAAGAAATGAGAGGCGAGCTGTGGGGGAGGTGATGCTGTGGGAGCAGAGGCAGGTAGCTCCACTCTCTATCTGTGTGCCAATGCTGCTCCCTCAGCTCCCTTTCCATTCATCTGCTAAACACACCGGCAGGGTGGTGCTTGGCCAGACTGTCTGTAATTGAGATAAGCCGAAGAGGGCTTTTTCTGTAGACAACAGATAGCTTGGAGTTAAATCTCCTAAGTGGAATACTGGTAGCAAGGCAAGTATAGTAGCCCTAGAGTTTGCTTGAGCTGCAAAACTTGTCTCTACACAGCATTAAATAAATCCTCTGACAGCAATCCCAGGCTGTGTCTCCTTGCCACACTGTTGACTGTTAATTAAACAACTGTTTTTAAATCTGTTAATCATACAAAATCGACACAACCCAGCAGATTAGAAATTAGAAACCCCATGAAACTAATGAAATAATACGCTTTTCAAAGAAGAGTGATTCCAGCTCTGTTGTCTGGTGAGGTTTTATGGTAATTACATGAAGTCTATCTTAGTCAGAATCTTTTACTAATAAGATTCTGAAATTAGTATTTTGTGTGTATACAATATGTATAAAATTCTTTGGGATAAAATAAGAAATGATATGGCTAGAGTAGTCACTTCTGAAGGTTTTAAACAACTTGTCAGGGTTCATTTGCTAAGCCAAATTCCTTTAAACAAAATGTATTTTAATGGAATCAAATGTAATTTGCATGTGTAGCCAGCCTTTCTTGTTTTATATTGATGGAAAGGAAGGACTATATAGAAAACCAGAAAATTAAAAGAGGGGCCAAAAGCGGTGGAAAAGTGAAACAATCTTAGCCTACGTAACATACAGAGGTAGAAGGAAATCCTTAGGTGTCTCACTGAAAGGAAATACTAAAAGTACTAAAAGCAGGTTTATTTTTGTATTAAAGTACTGAATATTCAGTTCTAGTGTATGAAATTTAAAAAGAAAGATAAAAGACTGAAGGGACACTGGAAGGGCACTGATTGTGATTGGAAAAAAAAAACCTTAATGGAAGAGAGGAAAGCCCTTTATCATTTTAGTGTGATTTGATTTTGTGGAATGACTTGGCTACAAACAAAAATCTGGAATATATATATATATATATATATACAGTGTTACATAAATCTTTAATGTGTTAGATTAAACTAGGCTGTTGGTTTGAAGCTGTTAGAGAGAATTTGAATCCAGGCCAATTAAAGTTGGAAGCTAGACATTTTTAAAATTTCAAGCTGAATATGCCAGTGGAAGAGCAAAAATTAATTAAAAAATAAATGAAAAAAAAAAAAGTAACTGTGGATCAATACAGCACCTGGGGCTGGGAGGATGGTATAATTTTAGCTAGATGTATGGGTTTCATTTAGAAGTAACTGATTTGTGATTTTTAAAAGTAACTGAATGGTTTCTCTGGCTGTGAATTTACTTACATACTTTCCTTTTTACTAATTTAATTAAGAGTTCTTTACTTGCAAAATTGTAATACCTCAGAGTTTTCAATGTTACAGAAAAAGCTTATCAGCAAATGTTTAAAATAAATGATTCAAGTAGTAAGTGTAACGACAAGAAGGAAGATCATCCTTTTGGTGAATAAATTAAATAAACCCGTGTTTTTTTAAAAATATCAATTGTTCTAAATGCTTTGCAGTAGTATATAGTTATAAAGGAAAAAAGGCTCAAATGCAGTCTATTGTTGCTTAAAAAAATACTTTTTCAGCTGAGAAGGATGACACTGAGAAACGATACCAGCCTTCCCCAAATGTGACATAAACTATACCAGTGAAAAAGATTAGTGGTAAACTCAATTATTTTGTAGTTTGTCAAGTGCATGTAAATATGAATGGTTAGAATTTAGACAGAGAGTTCAACATGGTGCCAACAAGTTAGTTTAGTCAGCTGCTAACTTACTAAATTGTAGTTTTTCTCATGTTTAAGTCAAAACTAGCAAGACTATTTAAAGCTGTAGCAAACACAGGTAAATTTACACTTTTTCAGGTCTTTCAAAGCTCTTTGAGAGCTGAGTGCTTTCAGAAGCTTGTCTGAAATAAAATTGAGCACTCCGCATCTCTTCAGCGCGGTGCTCTTTGTGCCCTGCGCTGCCACTGGGCCAAGGATGCAGGTGCTGCCCAGCCTGGGGGCTGCAGGAGGCAACGCAGCGACCCTTGCCTGGTTTCTTTCCTGCAGCTTGGAGGACACAAAGAAAGGCACTGGTTTGCTGTGTACACCTGAGCCACCCTGCTGAGGTGTGCCAGCCACCAGAGGATGGTGCCAGGGAATACTGGAGAGGGGCCAACAGGTGGTACCTTTTTCCATGGGTGCAGTTGTTTGCACAGCACACACACATTTGTCTACATCCTGATCTCTGCTGCCTGCCTTCTGTTGACATTTCTCCTTTACACAATGGATGCAAACTGCCCTTTGGTTAATGGAGTAGTGTTCAGGTTTTTTTCATTTCACTTGTAAAAGATAAATGTAGACCTATTGTTTTCATCTCTCTCTGAACTTTAGGAAGCCAGGAAAATAAATCTTAAATTATTAATTCAGGTAAAGTTTCCAAACCTTTATTGTTATGCTGTTGGACAGATTTTTGTAAATCATATGAGATGACCAGGGCCATGACAAAGCAGAGGTAAAAGAAGATATTAGAAGAAAATAAATTTTAAAGCCATACAAATAATTCAAAGGCCTTGATACACCTGTGACTGGGTTCAAGAGTATTGTTTGGATATGTCACCTTTGTTTGGTCAGTGTTACATTAACTACAGCGATATTTACCTTTGAACAGTTGAGATCCTTAATGCTGAGGAAACATAATAGGGAGGGTTATGAACTTGTAAGGTCTTCATTCTTTCTGGTGCTGAAACTCTTAAAAATATATCGACAGTCCAGGTACAGAAGTACCTCAATTAGTGTAGATTATGTGAGGGAAGCTAAACTTTCAGAACTGTCTTAAAAGTAGTTTGCTCTCCTTTGACATGGTTTTCAGCTTCTTTGGGTTTATTCATCTGTTTTATAGTTTTGTAGTATTATTGTGGAAATACAGTATGTTGAGGCATTGTATCCTAAGAAGACTTAAGAAACCTGATTTTTTCCCATCTTTTTACAGGAAAACCACTTATCCATCTTCTCAGGAAATAGTTTTCTAGTTATTTTCCTTCAGCTTATTTAGCAACAATACAATGTTTGTCTAGAATGGGGTTTCTTGTGTTTCTGCTTTGTAGATAAGATAACAGTTATTTGTGCAGTTTATCTTAAAGCATAGTACAGATAACATGAATTCACCTACAGTAGGCATTTCCTTATTAAAAAAGGGAAGGAGGAGTGCTGGTTAAAAGGGAATTCTACTTTGCGAGTTGTTCCTGGAGCTTTAAGTATCTACTTCAAAATGTCAATTCTCAGTATTTTGAACAGACTTTACATGTAAAATCATATGAATTTGAAAGAAGAAAGTGAAACTTTTCCCCCCTTGCTTTTGAATACACAGTGAAGGAACACTGACTGATAAATGAGTTGATCAACAAATAGAGCTATTTCAGAATATTAAATGCATTTTCCTAAAACCACCTTCTTCTTAAAATAATTATTTAGGCATACTGGAAGCATACATAAATGGTAGTGTTTTCCTAGATAATTAGGTGGCTTTTTTCAGATTATAGGAAGTGAAGATGGCTTATGAATTAGTATCTAACTATTTCAAATTATACTTTCAGAGTAGGCAAATGCTTTTTGTCTGGGCAATATTGAATTCAAGTTTTCAGAGGCTGTAATAGTTGCCAGATATTGTGTTCTTTTGAGCACCAAATACGGCTGCACTCCTAGCAGAAAATGTCAGAAGTCATATTTTCAAGATTACAATTAGGCCAATAAAAAATAAGCTGCCATTTGGAATCTTGGATCTGGTGCATGCAATATAAATTTTTATCTGTTTGAGATATAGTCTGTTTCTTGCAGCCTTGTGAGTGTTTATCACCAAGCAGTGTTAACTTTCCAAGTTTTTGTCAACAACCTGACAACGTGAGTGTTGTCTCATACTAAACTACCGAGTTACTTTGTGCTAACCCAGACACAAACTGTTGGGAGCGGTATTGGCTTCAGTGTTGCTGACACCTCCTCTTACATTCTAGAGCAAGGAAGTTAACAGCTTTTCCAGCTTGCTACTGGACTTACCTTGCTCCATAAAACTTCTTTGTTTGCTTTACTGCAATCTCATGTGAGCTATTAACTCCTTACCCTGAGTACTTTTTCTGCTTTCCTTGTTAAAGATAACATTTTGAACTTACTTAAACTATTTTAAACTGAAGAGTAGTGAAAAATTTGTTAAAATAGCAAGAAATGCTCATCAGATCTTTCAATATCTTACTGCTTTGTAGTTTTGCCTTATAGCTGTTACAGCCGCTCTTGGCTTACTGTAAATCATTGACCCTCAGAGCCAGTGTGTGGGACTCAGTGTTCTTTTTTGTTTCCCTTTTCTTCCCTTTTTTTCTTTTTCTTTTCTTTTTTTTTCTCTTTGTTTTTTTTTTCTTCTTCCTTCTTCTTTTCTTTTTTTGTTTCTTTTGTTTGTTTTTTTCTTCTTCCTTCTTCTTTTCTTTTTTTTGTTTCTTTTGTTTGTTTTTTTATTTTTTTTACTTTCCAGATTACCCTAGCAAGGTATAGAACTTGAATTTCTTTTAAGTGTATAATTTGGTACTCTACACTGTGACTAGTAAAAATTACTGTTTACTATTACACTCCATGAGTATTTTGTATCCTTAATGCTTTAATCCTCGCTAAATTATTTTGCTAGGAATATAACTTAACTTTTAGCAGAGCAGCATGTCTTATGGTAATGGTAGCAATATGTATTGTAATAATTAAATTCTGGTACTTTTCTGTACCTTACAAACTTCCTTCAAATGTACAGCAAGTGATAATTTACTTTCCCTTTTTCTTGGATGAAGTTTTCTACTTATTTTTCATTGCAGTTCAGAGAAAGAGTGGATTAGAAATGAACAATTGTCTCTGCCTTTGTGAAGACATTTTAAAATTTATTATTGTAACTTAGAAGAGCTGCCATATGTGAACATGAATCCACTTGTTAATTCAGATGGGAATGATTTTCCTTCTGAGTTACACATGGCACCCACCACCAGCTATCCTTGTTGAGCACACACTGCTGTAGGCCCTGTTGTCTGGGAGAGGTCTGACATCTTCTGTTTGTCAGTCTTTAATGTCATTACTGTTTAGCTACCAAATTCGTTTTTGTGAGTACATTTCACATCTTCAGAAATGATTCTATGAAAAATAATGCAAACATTTACATTAAAAGTTATTTCTTTGTTCTGTAATATAATTGAGAAAGAAGAAATCTAGTTTTGGTAGCAGTCAGTTGCATTGTGAAATTTATGTTTGTTTTTCTTTTAACAGGAAAAGCTCTTGTCCAGATCTCTTCAAAGAGGTGAAGATCTCCAGTTTGATCAGGTAGGAGGCATGGAATTGAAGGCAACTTTTATTGGGTTAATGGGGGCTCTGTTTTTGCAGGATAGTGGTTCTACTGTTGTCCTAACTTGGAATGTCTATGTCTGAATCTGTGTCAGAAGATTTAGACCTTGAAAGTTAGACTTTATTTTCCATTGTAGAATATAATAGTAAGTAAGAAACTGTTAGAATAGTTTAATTAATTGAAGGTGGCAGTGAAAGCTGGTGGAGGAAAGATGCTGAAATGTGGTAGTGGACAAAAAGTTTTAATTTATTTCTATTATCACTTATTTTTTCATTCTTTGAGGTTCTGTTTTTATAAACAAAGTGTAAATTTAATTTTAGCAACACTATTTTTACTGAAGGCTTTTTGATTCTATGGCAGAAGGCATAAGTTAGATTCATAATACTGCTTTGTCCTTTACTGCAAATGTAGACACAGTGTGAGGCAATTCTGTTTCACTTACTGTTAGGGAACTGTACCTGGAATCTCATTTTATTGTCTATTCTCTGTATTTCTTCAGTAGTATAGGCATGATTTTGTCCCATAAGTGCTTCCTTGCAATCAAGAGGCATCATTCAGATGAAGCCTCATTAATTGCCTGTTCCTGTTCTTAACTGTTACTGAATAACATCTGTTGTATGAAGTCTAGTGGTCTGTCCATATCTTCTGTAACTGAATTTTTGTTTCCTGCTTTCCATTACTACTTGGGTATAAATATTAGACATTTCAGTGAAATCTGTGGACCTGCCTTTACTTTTCGATGAATAGCCTTCCATGCACCTTTTTCCCTCCTCCCAAAAAAGAATCTATTAGTAACATGTAATATTTGTTTTATGATTTTCTTTTCAAAGAAAAACAAAAATCCACCACCACAAGCCTGAATGGCTGCCTGATGATGACAAGAATTGTGAATTTTGATAGGGAATTTTGAACATTGTTTGGCAGAAGGAATTAAGATTGCTTCTCTCTTCATTGCTTGATGTATGAAACCTTTATTAAGAACAATTCTCCAGCAGTGCAGAAGATTACAGATTTTAAAAGAGATTGGCAAAGTGTGGGAGTGAGGAGGATTGAGAGTGCACAGCCACAGCATCCAGCAGAGAAGTTAGAGCTGTTGCTGGGCCAACCTTGTTCACCCAGAGGTCTTCCCGGAGCTAGGAATTCGGGTCTAAAAGGTGGCTTTACTGATACAATGTCTGAGTTAGTAAGTGGACTTTGTGAATAAAGAGAACATGATTGGAACACAAAAGGGACCCAGAGTCTAGGAAGTATCTAATTAACACTTGTTCTCGCAGCTCAGTAAGCAATGAGAAGAGGGATGGAGGAGGAAGACATGTAGTGTTGCCTGTCCCTACAATGAATAAGTAAAATAGCTTTTTAACGGGATTATAAGTAATTTTTGTGGGAACCATTACCAGACCAAAAGGGTTGCTATTAAAACTAAGTGTGTTTAATCAATAGTTTTTAATTTTCAAACATTACAATTCTTCTATTTGTGGTTTGAGGTCTTATTTGGAACAAAAATATAAATTTAGCTGAAAGAAATGAAATTTTGGAAAATGAGAAGGAAATTTGTATATTGTTTCACTTGTGAACTATTAAAAATTTTTCATTTTAGTACCAGCACTTTATCATTCCTAGCACATCAAGAAGCTACCGGACAGGAATTTTTTGATAGAGCATATATTGCAGTTCTTAAAATATTTTTGCTTGTACAGCTTGAAACTGAAATAGCTTGTATTTTCCTTTGCTTGTTTGTTGTAGGAATGAGACTTGGCAATTTCCTACTCTTGTCCTAAGACACCAGAACTTTATGATCACACAGAAGCCTATCTTAGCTATCTCAGTAACTGAAAGCAGATGTGTCTGAGGTTGAGACTTGATCATGATTAGGCACAACTTGAGCAGTGTTTTTAGGATCAGGATTTTGGCCATAGCATTTGGGCTCTAGCATCTTACCGTAATTTTTCATCTGTCTCTTTTTACCTCTCACTGTACTGTTGGGTATGTTACGTGCAGCAATTAGCAATGAGTTGTGGCCTTTTAAGACTTGAACAGGATCTGCTGTTTCACTCTGAGGAATTGCAGTATACGTCACGATGACTGGTGCAGCCCTGTCCTCTTGGGTATTGCAGGAGCTCTTTGTCTGGATTGCTGATTTCAACGTAGGCATAATGTAGTGCTAAAATAAAAGGGTTTTCTTACATAAGAAATACATAAGAAATATAATGTGTATTTCTTCTTATATAAGAACTTCTTATTTGTATTTATATGATGATCTTGAATTTAGTATCCAAGCGGTATGGTAATTATTTTAAATAAAAAATAGCTTGTATTCTGCATAGTAGCTATATAATGTGAGCAAAGATGTCATCTTCCTGGTAACTCCAGTGTCTTCATTAGAATGCTAAGGATGCAAAACTTGTCAGGAAATAAGTAATTATTATGTAAAACTGACTTTTCATTTCAAGAGGAAAATGTATTATAATGCTAGTAGTTTGGGTTTGGAACTTTACCAATGACATTTTTCACTGCACGTGGTACAGCTTGTGTCTGTGGAAGACAGTGTAAATTGCCTAAATACTGGAACATCTGTAACTGGCAGTAGTATTAATAAACTCTGTAAACTCGCAGCAAAACCCAAGTTTAGTAAAGCTTAAAATGCAGCTTGCTTCTTTTTCTTCTGCTGATAAGCCCATCAGTTCAGAAGGAGGGCAGGGGAGTGAGAATTGCTTTGCAGAGTCATTTTACATTGACAGCACTGGGTAACCTAAGTGTTCACTTAATCCATTCCTGTCCTGTTGTGTGTGTAGCTGCTGTATGAACATAGCTCTGTGCAAAGTATGGGATATATAATTGTTTTTAGGGAAAGAGAGTCCATTAGTTTTAGAGAAAGTGAAATTAATGTATTACCCAGTGTTTAGGTTATCTGGGATATGGGAATTGACAGTAAATTCTGAAGGCAAAACACATTTTGGATTGCTGTGGTTGTCATAGATCTCTTCTTTGTCATCTTCCATTCTAAGAGTTCCAGTTACATTGATGATTTTATGCTGATCCTAATATCTTCAGTTTAGCAAGTCGTAAGACGGGTTTGTTCTTTTGTTTTCTGTTTTTTTTCCTCAAATATATGAATGCTTTTAACTTGTGATTGCTGCTCATGGCTAGAGGTCAATGGAGATGTTTGAGTACCCCAAGCTAATACAAACAGCAGGCACTTCATGCATATGAAATCTCAGTGAAGATATTTCAAAGCTTTATCAGTACAAATGAGTAATTTAAGTTCTATTTTTCTGATATTTCCACTTACTGAAATGTAAGGGTTTTAATAGTAGCCCACAAGTGTCTCAAATTTGGTTTTCTTTCCTCTTCTCCTTTTTCACAAATTCTTGCTATTATTTTTCTTCCCAAGGAGGTTTGTCAGACTCCTGCCACATCAAAAAATTCTCTTAATTTATCCAATTCATTTTCACCATATACTGATTTATTTCTGATCACAGAATATTTTTAAAATGGTAGCATTGGGCTGTTTTTTACTGTCCACTTCTACAAGTCTGATGTAGGCTGACTGGCTGATTGGATATTTATTTTGTACGGGTGTCGGTGCAAAAGAAACAGGATTAAAACACACTTAGTTTGCGAAGCAGTCATGAAGATTTCAACATATATTAGTGTAGGAATGAAGAAATTCTTAACATTTAACCATTGTTCTGAGGCATTGTAATAATCCTACAGAATATTTCTACCTTCTGTTTCTTTATGTTAAAAAGGCTTATTATGGTTTTGTGTTGCCTGCAATAACTGCCTGCATCTTTTTGTGCAGTTAGCTCAATGTACGTGCCCCTCCTGCAACAAGCATGCCTAGTTTTTCCATTGAATCTTTTTCTATTGAGTGTCCTATTGACAGGCAATAATAATAGGGAAAAAACCCTCATCAATCTAGTAAAAAAGTCTTAATGAAACCTGGTTCCTATTCAGATCTGGAACAAACGTAGTTTATGCTGTATACTGGAATTTAAAATTTTGTGAGCTTACAGAATAAGAATATTATTTTACTTATTTTGAGGAAGCTTTTCCATTTGTTTATATAATGAAAGGATTTTTCAGAGAATCAAGAATGCTATTTAATTCTTGTAGCTTAACTAATTGACTGGTTAACAAGCTGAGTAAAGCATTCAGAAGGTTGAAAGAGGTCCTCCTGAGGTTTCCCTCAGGTTAACCTATCCCTATCCCTTCCTCAAGTAAAAAAACCCAAGATGTTTCAAATGAGGACAAAGAAATAATGGCATTAATGTTATATTAGTTTTCTGGAATAGCGAGTAATAGATAAGTTATGGCATGAGGATGGATTCTGTTGAAACTTCTTATTTGAAAGATGCAAGAGGTAATTAATACATGGCATCAGTGAGCAATGTGGTAACTCTCCTTTTCCAACCTGTGTTCTGGGGATGGGCTTGCTCCCTGCTGCCTCCTGGAAGGGAGTTCATGATGCCGCTATGCCGTCTTCGGTCATTCTTCTCCTTTCCAAGCTTGAGCACTTAGGAATGCTGTTAAAGTTGGTAGTTAAAGGAAGGTTAGAGAATTTAAGTTTCATAACATCCTGAAGTCTTCCTTCTGTAATGGTTTCTGTTGCCACATTTGTTTCACAGATAAGTTTTACTACTCGTATGGATTTTCTGAAAGAAAGCAAGTAGATAGGGGAGTTATGCCAGAAGTAAATACAGCTTGAGATCTCCATATCTGTTAAATATATTAAAATCAGTATAGAATATATAAAAGGCTCTCATTTTTGTTTATATAATAACCAAATAAGCAGGTTTTTGGAGGTTACATACTCCTCAGTTTAGGAGGGTTTGGTCTTGTCTGTCCTTTATAATGTGGAGGTACATATACTTCAGAGATATATACAGCAACATTCACAGACATCCTAAAGCCTCTGCAGTTTCTCAGTGGTTTTATACAGGTTATCTGCATAAATTTGTTGTTCTGTAATCCCTGTGAGCTTTGGAACACTTTGTCTGCTAATATTTATTATAATAATGGACTTAGTGTGTAATATTTACAGTAATTGTCCCGGGTGAAAAGAACATAAAGTTGCCACTTTGTGAAGTTCCATTAAAAAACAATTTGAAATAATGATTATAACTCTAGGCTTTTTATTGCTTTATCAAGCTAAAGTATTTTTTTTACTTCTTTTTCAGTTGATAAGCTCTATGAGCTCAGTAGCAGAGCACTGTCTCCCCTCCTTACTACGCACCTTGTTTGACTGGTACAGGCGTCAAAATGGAACAGAAGATGAATCTTACGAATACAGACCTCGGTCAAGCACAAAATCAAAGGGGTAAGAGTTTTCCTTGCAAAAGTCTGATTGATTTTTGCGTGCTTTCTCAAAAAACTCTGTGCTTTGTACTCCTGTGACAAGGATGTTGCATTTGGATCTGTCACTACCTAAATCCATGTAGGAAGAGCACAGACTTCTTTGAGGTGGTGTATTCAATTTGCCTAGATGATAAGCGTAAAGTGACTTAATGGTTTTGGTGTGGATATACAGAGGGAAGTTGGATACTGGTAATTCCGAGCTAGTTTGTCCCTTTTTGAATTGTTTTGGTTGTTGACAGATCCCTTTCCAGCAATCCATTTTATATACATGTGCAACAGTGATTACATGAAAGGCAATGCAATCATTGTCTCTGCAATATTTGTGCTCAGTCTTGTGTATGATACCTGTGTTCTTGATTTCTTATTTTAGGGATGAGCAACAACGGGAAAGAGATTATCTACTTGAAAGGAGGGACTTAGCTGTAGATTTCATTTTTTGTTTAGTTTTAATAGAAGTTCTAAAACAGGTAAGCTCTTTTCCTTTGGCAAATTAATATTAGTATTTTGCTTTTAATGTTGATTTTTACTGTCTCCTTTAAATTTTTGTATTAAAAACTAGAGCATATCTATGATGAGCATATGCAAGGCTGTCATTATACTCTCAGCTGCATAAAGCCTTTGGCTTCTCCTGTCTTTACATGTTTGCATTATCTCAGTTCATATGTCTTGGAAAACTGCATGTGCTGCAAGAAGAAAAACTGTAAAAAATAAGTTTATTTATGTTCGGTATCTTTTGTCTTCTTAAATGTTTTTTGAAATACAGTGTGCAGTCATTGAATGACAAGATTAAAATGTCACTTCAAAAATATTAGAAAGGGCATGTAATTTTGCTTGGCCTTATCATGTCATATTAGATAATGTTAAGAACAATTTCTGTTAATATAAAATTTGCATGGGTATTTGGACAAGAGCATAGGGTTTGGCTTCAAGTGGCATCATTTTTTCTCATGTTCTTTGAGAGGAGAAAAAGATTATTGTAAGAAATGTTTTGAAACATGAGTGGAATTGAGCAAACTTCAGGTACTTAAGTAGTTTATCTTTTTTAAGTGTAGGTACATGAAAATTAAATGACTTTTTCTCTACTAAGTAAAGCAAGGACTGTTTTAGTTTGCAAATAATTTGTAGGAGATTTATGTTTATGTGGTTGTGTTGGTGATACGGGGTAAAATGAAAGCACTAACATGAAAGAGCTGCCTGTCCTTCTCTGAGACACCAACTAATCATCCAAAATAATGTTCCCATATTGCTTGCACAGATATGCAGAGAACAGTAGCAAAACCATCAAACTCTTATGTGCTAGTGTTTTACAGAAAATCTTTAGTTCATGGTCTCTCCTTGCCTAAATTTTCAATCAATGCAAAAGAAAAAGGGAAATGGAATAGACTGTTTAGGATTGCAGGGTTGTATGGGTTGCTTCTGTATTTTGAATGGGTACTAGTTTCTCTGCTGAGTGGAGCACATGTTGCCAGTGATTCAGATGTCAGGAGAGGTGCCAGAGTTTGGTCTTGAAGAGAGGCTTGATGAGTCTCATCCATGTACTCCAGACAAGACAAATATTTTTCTGGTAAGGATATTTCTGTTAAGGATAAGGATCTGCAATGGGCCACTAAACATAGATGGACCACTTAAGAGAATCTTTTGGTCAATTTAATATTAAAAGTTACCCAAAGGAGGGTTTGTGTGTTCTTCTTGTAATGTGAATCTGCAATTAGGCAGTCCAACATCACAGAAAAGATGGCTTTTTATCAATAAACACATTTACATTCACATTACCTCCATCTTCTTCTCTTCATGAGAGTCCTGTCACTCTTTGATTCTTAACAACTGGTTTTAGAGAATGCAAAGGATATGATCTAGCCTTTTCTGTAATAGGCACAGAGCAGATGGTGAGAGGGTGACAGACATGACCTATATAGGAACAGAAATCTTTTATTTAAATTACGTGTTACGCATTGTATCAATATGCATGTAAATAGCCAGTTCCAGTAACTAGAAGTTTCTGAACAAAAAGCTTTCTTGATGCAGAAGAGCATGAAATTCTCAATAAGTAAGTGCTTAGTTTTTTATAGACAAGAGAATAATATATTTTAGTGAAACTCTTAAACACTTCAGCAGGAATGTGTAGTAGGGTTGTCCTAGTCCCTACCTAAATTGCTTTGAAACTTTCAACATATTATGACTTCATATTCATATATAGTGCTTTTTTAAAGACTACCTTTGGTTTTCTTAAAGCAGATGTTTACCTTTAAATCTGAGGAAGGTGGTGATGTCAAAGAGAACCTCAGTAAAATAAAGGGTCTTGTAATGCTTAGTTTTGTTTCTCACCAAATTGTTACTTACTACTAGGAAGGTTTGTGTATGTTTTGAATGCTTTCATCTGTAGAAAGTGTAAAATGAAGATGATCATCACTTCTGCATTTTTATTTTGTTTTGTTTTCTTTCTTTATATGAAGATGTATTGCATTTTGAGATTAAATCTGTAGTAGTAACAGCACACAAAAAAACAAGTGTGAAAAGATGCATAGTTAACCTTGTGTGATAAATTTTGATGGCAAATTCACAGTATTTACTTAACTGTGGTTTATTTTGTAATTCATTTAATCCCTAAGAGCCATCATGCAAAATAATTTAGAAAAATGCCAATGCAGATTGTGTAAATGTTCATATATTGCAGAATTAACTTTATCACATGCCAGCTAAGGATGACACTAGTGGGAGAGATTTCAGTACTGTTTACTCACTTCATGCATATATAAAAATGATATCTGCATTTCAGATACCTGTTCATCCAGTGCCAGATCCTTTAGTACATGAAGTTCTAAACTTGGCTTTTAAGCACTTTAAACATAAGGAAGGGTAAGTTTCACTTGTGTACTTTAAAATATTTTGTGTGTATTTCCAGCCTGTGCTTGATTGATCTTCTTTGCCACACATGTAACGTGTTGGTGAAAATACTGTAAATGAACAGTGGTCGATGTCTTTGAATTGGAAACATATCGTGAAAGAACACAGCTGTGTTCAATATAAGGCAGAGTTTATTTTGCTTAGAATATCCAGAATGATTTACATAGCCAGACAGAATAAGAAAAGTCTGAGTTTGGATAACTTCCTATCCAGAATACATTTCTTATGAAGTGAGAAATGGGACTCTATCACTGTACATATCACCCATGCATTTAAGTTTGATTTTCATTTATATGGTAATAATCTGCCTTGCTATGGAACAGACTTTTTGTTTGTAATTAAAAACTTACTTGGGGCTTAGAAGAAAAATATTATATTTACTTTTTTTTTTTACTTTTATTGTGTTTTGGGTTTTTTTGTTTTTCTCTTTAGGTATTCAGGAACCAACACTGGGAATGTGCATATTATTGCAGACTTATATGCAGAAGTGACAGGGGTTCTTGCTCAATCAAAGTAAGCTCAGTCTCTGACTCTTTTTGTGTTTGGGAAAAAGACAATATAGACTTAAAGACTATTTGATATAGTTACTTTTATTAGTGTCCCCCGTAACTACTACTGTAAGTTTCAAGTGTAGTCAAGTGTAGTCTGCTGTGTCTTGTCTCATGTTCCAGCTCAATAAATTTGAACAAATCAAGAATTAATCTTTAGTATAATTGCTTTGCAGTCAATTTGTAGGTGCAGGGAAAGGAGGTCTTCTACCAGTTAGTTGTTGTTTAGTTAATGGGTATATTCTAATGTGCTGATCATAATAGATCCTCTTAAATGCCTAGATTTTAAGTCTAGAGTTCATCTTACTTGTGTTTCTTTTACTATAGGTGCTGTTACTGTTAAAGATTAAAGAAAACAGATCAAATTTATAGACCTCATATAAATGTAACTAAGAATGCAGATAATTGCTGTCTATATCCCTCATTCAGGTTTCAAGCTGTTAGGAAAAAATTTGTTACTGAATTAAAGGAACTACGACAAAAAGAACAGAGTCCTCATATAGTACAAAGTATCATCAGTTTGATTATGGGAATGAAGTTTTTTCGAGTAAAGATGTATCCCGTGGAGGACTTTGAAGCATCATTTCAATTCATGCAGGTAAATGAATAGTACAGAAAGCTGAAATGAGCATGATTTTGATTGTTTAACTCCTGAAACTACAATGACACTTGCTGTGATCAGTCACTCACTCTACTTGTGTGCCGTCCTTCATCCTTTTCTGTTCAGCTCCTAAGTTTTCAGAGGTGTGAATCATTGGTTTCTCTGCAGCAGAAACCTTTCACAATTGTCTCACTAATGTGGCAAACCTGTGATATATGAATTTATTTAAGACCGAATGAAAATGGGTAGCAATCAAATAATTTTCATTCTTTATGAAAGTAGTATGTTAAAGGAAAAAAATTATTGGATATGTCTTCTTTTAGCAGCTGAGATGCCAAGACATACTTTTCTTTAAAAGCACTTCAGTAACTTTTCAGAGAGACTGCATGTTCAAACATGTGTATGGATTATTTATAGTGTCTGGAATACTGAATTCTCTGTAACATTGTTTTTGCAGCAAAGTCATATTGAAAATGAAAATGAGTATATAAAAGTAAAGTATAATTTTCTAATAATTTTAATAGAGATAAGTTTTAATTTTTTAAAAGCCTCAGAATAATCTGAGGAAAAATGTGCACATTTATATTCTGAGTACTCTTTATATTCTGAGTAGAAAGTAAATAGCTATCTGGTATTACAGATGTTCTCCTTTGAATTTCTTGAGGAGAATTGCTGGGGAAACAGGTTTTAAAGTTTCTGATGTTTTGTAAAGTTGATATTGTCAAGGAATATAAGACTAACTTAGACACATTGCTTCTTTTAAATTCAAACAGGCAACTAATGTTATACTGCTAGCAGTTTTTATGGCATAGTTACATTTGTATTCTTTTTTCTAAATATTTTTTCTGATGTTTTCTTACTAAGGAGTGTGCTCAATACTTCCTGGAAGTAAAAGATAAAGATATAAAACATGCCCTTGCTGGTTTGTTTGTGGAAATTCTCATACCTGTGGCTGCTGTAAGTATTTAATCCCCTACCCCCCTGTTCCTCTCACTTTCAGTTGGGCTCTCATTGTTAAAATTGTTTCAATTAATCCTCAAAGTAATACGTTTTTACAGATTCAAAAAGACTTCTAGTACCTAAAGAGGACTTACAAGAAGGCTGAAGAGGGACTTTTTACAAGGGCATGTAGTAGTAGGACAAGGGGGAGTGGCTTCAAACTGAAGGAGGATAGGATTAGGTTAGATTTTAGGAAGAAATTCTTTACTATAAGGGTGGTGAAACACTGGCGCAAGTTTCCCAGAGAAGCTGCGGGTGCCCCATCCCTGGAAGTGTTCAAGGCCAGGTTGAATGGGGCCCTGAGCAACTTCTTCTAGTGAAAGATGTCCCTGCCCATGGCAGAGGTGCTGGAACTAGTCTATCTTTAAGGTCCCTTCCATCCCAAACCATTCTAGGATTCTGTGACTGTTAAGTAGATTACAAGCACCTACGCAGTCTTAAAGGGAAATGTGTTGGTTTGTGTTAGCTAGTTTACAGTCTTTTTTCAGAACTTTTTAAAATTGTCTGTTTTCTAGATACATTTATGACTGTGTAATTTTATACATGCTCTAAAAAGTTGAAATTTCCATGGTTTAATATTTATTTGCTCAAGGGTCCTGTTGACTTTTTTTTATTAGCTGAAACCTGTTAAGTTCTTTCTAGAATAAACTGAGATTTGTAACATCTGATAAGGAGATTGTGATGTCCTATGCAAGAAGGAAGGATGTAGGTTTTGACTAATTAAATAAAAATAATTCCTATATCCAGTCCTTCAAGTGGAAGATAAGTCAGACTGACTTCAAGTCAGTTACCTCCTGTGTGTGTTTTAAAGCTAAGGGTGGAAATTTCACTCAGCAGCCCAGAACAAGAAAAACCCCCATCACAGTGTTTGGATGTACAGTGTGCGTAATGTATGTAATGCTGCTTGTGAGAATGCTTTCAGTCAAGACAGACTCTTCTCCTTCCTCCCAGGTTACTTTGCTCAGTTACGTGAAGCTTGTTCGACAGGTCAATGCGGAATCATGGCACCTCAGTGTACCTTAAGTTGACCATTTACCACTAGCTCAGATAATTTTATCATAGTAGATTGATGCTTGCTGTGATTGTTGTCTAAAATGTTAGTTGTATGAGCAGATGGTGTGTTTTAGCACAGGCCACAGTGTGTTTGGCTTGCTGTCCCAAAAAATGTCAGGTCACAGCTCCTTGTTGCAACTTATTATATGGGCATATCTTGCTGTACATGGAGAATTGGGACATACAGACCTTGTTTTGTAGAATGGGATCTAAAAAGACTAGCACACTGGGTGGGGATCCCATCTGAGCAAGCTCATGGGAAAAATCTCATGGGATAAATGTCTCTGAACTCCACATCCTCTTTCAAATGGTTTGCCTTGCCCTGGGCCATGGGGAAATGCTTCTCTCCCTTCCCTAGTCTCAATCTTCAAGTGGTTTTTTGTTTGTTTGTTTTTGTTTGTTTGTTTTAATTAGAAAGGAGACAATCTTTCTTCATAAGATATAACTACAGAGATGTGGTGTTGCTGGTAACTGTTTATTGGATGAAGTTTTGATCTTACCAGGGCATACTTGCACTCTTCTAGAGAAGAATTTCTTGTCCTGTTAAAGAGTGAACTCACTTTGTTGTTTTGAACTCCATAGTTGCTTGGCAATTGCAGTGGGGGTGCAGAGTGAAAGTACCTAGCATTTAGGTAAATGCAAATATTAGTTTGGAGAATTGTAAATATGGTGAAAAGTGTGCATACAATGATGAGGCATAGGCAGCATTTGGGGATGGGACTCTCCAGTGGCAGGCACAGAGACAGGCACAGAGACAGGCACACTGGCTGTGCGAGGCGCTTGTGGCCGTGTGTGCATCACTTCCTACAGGCACAGCCTGACTCAGCCCTTTAAACAGTTGGTGAGGGAGGCTTGATCTTCCCTTCTGACTCATGGAGTCTCTAATCATTTCATACAAATGGAGCTTCTTAAATAGAAGCGAGGAGCCCCATCCCAGATTGAGATGCAGTTGAGCAGGTTAGTCATCCTCAAGATGTGAGATGCAAGTTTGAATATTTTGGAAGCAACGGATGGAATTGAATGTAGATTTTTCTATATCTTGGATACAGAAAATTGTTTAAGTGGGGAACCTGTTAGGTTTCAGCACTGAGACTTCTTTACTGTCATTCTCTTACTTAGTCATTCAGGCATTTGCAAAAACCCAACCTGCTTTGAACCCTGCAGGTATGACAAATCACAGCATATTTTACATATTTTACAGCAGGAAAATTAAGGCTGATCTATCTGTAAGCGTAAGGTTGTATCCCAAAGCAACAGTGTGGTGCTGGCAACAACTGACTGATTTCTCTTGTGGGGCTAGCGGGGTACTGATCAACTTATAGCTTAAGACTAGCAAAAGATAAATAATTTGGTACGTAGGAAGTGATTTAAATCATAAATACTTTCTCAGTTCTTTCTTTTGGGATTTGCACACGTTACAGAGATACATACTATTTTTATGCTTCCCCATCATGACTGTTTTCAGAGTGTTCTTAGCAAGATGGACGTGACATATAATGTTAATACATATAGTTATAATGTTTATATAATATTAATAACTGTAAGTAGTAAAAATAACAAAAACAACATTATGTTGTAGGGAAATTTATAAGTACAGAGGATCTCTTCCAAAAAAACCAATCCTTTCTCTAACACTCCAACCCTCTGTTTGATAAATAAAGCAGAAATACCATATAAAACAGTAGGTTGAGAATAGCATTTAAGTGGATTATCCTAATAAGTATCCAGAGAGAAGCCTGAGGGACTTGCAGAGGTTTTGATAAAGAATGTAGCTGTCTAGGTTGTGGGAGGAAACCTATTCTGTATGCAAGAACAGAGTGGGTAGAAAAGGTGTAGGGCTCCACGTATCTGTTTCATTAATTCTGAAAGCTGAGCAAAGACTTGCTTGGTTGGCTGACTGGTAATCCTGTGAATAATTTCTGAAGTTTTCATTTTTCAGTATTAGAGGACATTATAAGGGGAGCAGTGAAGAGGGGAACAGTATAAAGGTTATGGAAAATAATTTTTAAAATATATGAAATTATGTGTATTATGTTTTGTTGGGCTGAGTTTTCTTTTTTTATTTGATTTAATTGTTGCTTTAACTGTATGAATGTAGTGTATGGCATGATTTCTTATGCTTTTGTTTATATTTCAGATAAATACACTCAAAAACCTACCTAATGTGAGATTTAACTTTTGAATGGTCCTGAATTCATGGACATCTTAATGTATATTTAAATTGCCTCCTGTGTAAATTCTTAAACCCATTAATGTGTGTATTTTTTTTAATAGGCTGTTAAAAATGAAGTGAATGTGCCATGTTTGAAAAATTTTGTGGAGATGCTTTATCAGACTACCTTTGAATTGAGTTCAAGAAAGAAGCATTCACTGGTATTTTAAAGAAATATTTCAACTTCTCCATTTTGCTCACCTTAGGCTCTTAAGCTAGTACAATGTGTGAGGAAAAGCTAACAGCTATGTTAATTTAAATCTTAACATCTCAGTTCTAAGTATAAATTCTCATAGTGTATGTGCATTTGTTCTAATTTTGCTTTGTTTCCTCATGTAGATATGTGCTCTTGTTATCCCACACATGAGATTTGTCTTGAAATCAGTGCTTGTTCTTGATCATTTTAGTGGGTTTTAGCACAGAGTTATTTAACCTAATGTCTCTTATAAAGAACTTGCATTCAGGGAGTCTGTATATTGAAATTATGCTTAATTAAAAGGTGGATGTGTCAGACAAGACTTTCCCAGCAAAGTAGCAGGCTCTTAATAGCCCTGCTCTGCCTGTTTCTCTTCTGTCTTCATATACTTTATGTTTCTTTTTCCAACATTTTTTTATTATCTCTTAATAATGCAATACTTGGTAATTCTTGTTATGTGGCAGCCATGTTTGAAGTTGATTTGCTTCACTTTGCTGGAAATGTAGAGCTAAATTTTTTGTTTCAATGGGCATATTCAGTAAATGCAAGTAAATTTAAAATGTTTTATTCTCACTCTCATGTTAGGGACAAACATATAAATACATAAAGCATATATTCATTGTACGTGGTTAAACTCCTTGTGTAAGAATAACATGGAGTAGTTGATGTTAGTATTCAAAATGTTATTTTATTTATGAAGTCAGAAACGTTGCATCAAGATTTAAGTTTACCTATTCATCCTCATTCTTTAATTTTGCTCCATAACAAGATGATCTGCAGTCAGATTTGATATTAATTACCATTATGTATTAAATTAATAAATCTTAAGTTACTAAAGCAAAGCAAAGTCATACTTTGCATGTTCACGACCTTAAATTAAATTAAATTTTGCTTCCTTCTTCACCTAAAGTAGAAGTAACATTTCTGACAACTTGAAGTCTGTCTCAGTTTTTACTGAGTTGATGATATTTTTCCTGAATATTTTTAAAGGCAGTTCACTTGCCCAGCGTGTAGGGCTCCATGAATTGAATCTTGTGGTTGCAGGAAAAGAGTGAATATTGTACAGAGGGTGAGACCTGCTTTTAGTTGGTGTTTAAGATCAGACTTTGCTAGGAGATGAGCTTCACCTTGGTCCCCCTGCCGCGATCTTACACCCTGAGCTCTTACAGCTCGGAGGTCGTACCCGGGGCACTGTGCCTGGCACGTGTGTCGCAGTGCAGGGGCAAGGCTGCCGTGCAGTGCTAAAACTGTGGCAGTGAGAGGCAAGAACCAACTGTGTGTCTCATTGTCAATGTGCAAGACTTAGGAGGTCTTCAAAGAGCCATTTGATCAATTCTTTTTCCCCCCTACTCGTAGGCTTTGTATCCATTGATCACCTGCCTGTTGTGTGTCAGTCAGAAACAGTTTTTTTTAAATAACTGGCACGTTTTCCTGCAGAACTGTTTGTCACATCTAAAGGTAAGAATCCTTTTCAATTCAGAAACTGTTGCAAATCACTAGTATTTATTCCAATATGTTCTCAGAATTCACGTGCCAAATAAACAATGATTATTTGGCTGTTTAAAAGGACACTGAAATATTTTTCTAAAAAAGATAAATAAATGTTTCAAGTCTCTGTTTGTATTAAACTCAGTACATTTTTGTGATGCTATGTCATGTTGGAAATAGGTGTGGTCCCTTTGGGGACTATCACTTTTATTGAGTAAAATTTGCAGAAGCATCTGCTAATAAAGACTGTTCATGCCAGAGAAAGTACTAACTGTAATTCTTCAATGAAAATTACATGTGAGAAAATAAGTGACTTGTCTGCTCTTCTAAGTAGAATGTATAGGAAGTGCAAAGTTTTTCTCATTCACTAATTGAATGAATAGAAAATTAATTGCAAGACCGTAAAAGACATTATATCTACAGCCTGTGATACATATTTAAAAAAAAAATTACAGTGTCCATTTAACTGATGACTTCCATTGATAGCATTGTAAACAGCAATTGGTTGATAAAGACATCACAGTACTTAGAAATTGGTGATTTTTTTTAAAGTGACTTTCTTGTGTCATTAATTGTTGTACATGCTCTTTCCTTAATTATGATTAACATAATCATAATTTTGCCTAATGCACTGATTTTAAAAATGTTAATAAATTTTTTGATCCTCCTTGACAATACTGATTCTGGTTAGGTATGAGAGAAAATTCTGAAGCTTATTAGTAAAATACGTAGACCAGCATGAAGTCAAAAGGAAACCGGTTTAGCTGCTTGGATTGGTTTTAAGGGTCATTTTGTTCTCACAACATCTTTCACACCTTTCTGTTGCTTGTTGGGTTTTGTATATTTTTCATCTAACATTGCAGTTCTTTTGCAATATTTGCCTTGATTTTTGTTTTGTGGTTTACTTTGCTTATGGAGGCTGCTTGTGCTTTTGTTTTTAAAACTTTATAAAAACCTCTTACAATCTAGGAGTTGTCTTTTTCTGGTATAATGTCCATTGCTGATAATGGATGTATTAAAACTATAAATGCCAGTGAGTTTGACTGGTAGTTGCTGAGCATGCATTTTATATTTTACTTAATTTTGTTAACCACTAACAGCTTAACACATTTACTGTAAGGCTCTATTCAGCAGAAATTCCACATATGAATTTCTGCAGTTCAGAATTTGCAGAGTTATGATGCTCTGCCATCAATGAGTTATTTAGGATATTTTATGGCTTGGTTTAATGTGGCACACCAAATACTATTGATTTTTTGGGTGCCTACTTTGCTCAGAAACTTTTTTGAGTTTAATCTTGAAAAATACATCCCGACTGTCCTCATGTGTCTTACAAATTAATGTGTTCCTTTGTTTCTGAAGCTAATTAAATGCATGCACTCTGTAATAAGTAATCTCATTAATTTATAAATCTGAATTTCATAGCAGTTTAGTCTTTTAGATTTCCCCTTTCACATTTTATTTCCTGATTTCCTAATGACTAAATTTATTTTATATGCAATTACTTACATATATAAAATGAATTAAGGAATTCCAAATCCATTGTCACTAGTGTCTTTGTTATTTAATAAAGTAATTTGGAGAGTACTGGAAGATACTTAAAGCATTGAAAAGGTTCACCTACCCCTACTGTGTTTCTTGTAATTAACAAATTAGCAGTTGAAATAATGACAACACTCAGACTGCCACAGGGATATTCTTTGAAGAGTACAGGCATGTTAGCAAGTCACCAAGAGGTAACATAGTTCATGGATTCATGACACTGACTTCATTCCCTGGTGACTGCCCAGTGCAAGCTGTTAGCTGGCCATGAACACCATGTCACACCTTGGTGACAGAAATTACCAATTTCCTATTTGCCATAGTGTGAAAGCCCAGTCCTTGCTGTTGCTCCATAGTACCCGATGCACGGTATGTTCATACCCTGCCTCACCTTTTGATGCTGTGCTGTACGTGATAAAGAACTCGAGGGTACTTTGAATCCTAATCCTAGTGATATTTATGACCCTTGTAAACTCCTCATGCTGGGTCTCAGTGGGCATTACATTTAATTATCCTCAAAAGCAAGCTTAGTGTATGGGGAAAACATCTTAGCCTTGCTGAAAGGAGGAAACCTAGCAGTCTGGACTGATGAAAATAACAGATAAGTGAGTTGTAAGAGTCTCTTTAGACCACTAGCACACCAAAGGGTATTTTTTGGTATACATATAGCTGACTTTGTTGTACAGTTGGGATGCTGTTTCAGCATTGAGCCTAGCAGGCATTTTTTTACACACTGTGGTGTAGGAAAAATTCTGAATTTGTTAAGCAGACAGTATGTTTTACAATACTCGATCAGTATTGTAAAACGTTTTGCTTACTTTTTTTGACTAGTATTTAGACAGACGAATTCTAGCAGGTTTGTAAGAAAGTTGATAAATTCATGGGTGAAGCTGAGTTGTTGTGGTATCTTTACCACCTCTTCTGGGGAGAGGAAGGAACATTTAAGAAAGCTGCTGGAATGGGAGAGAACAGTGTCTATCATTCTGCGCCACTGCTGCGTGGAAAAAGAGTATTTTGTTCCTCACAGTTTAACCCTGAAAGCTGAAGGAGAGTTTTCTTCCTCTGTAGCAAAACCTTGATTTCTACTGAATAGAGTCCTTGCTAGACAGCTATCTGTTGGTTTTGTGCTTTTTTTCATCTAACATGCATGTGCCTTCCATTCTCATGTTTGTTATGTTTTGCTGTCTCACATTGCTTTATTTAGATGCCATCTAACAACAGTATCAGAAAACAAATAGAAACACTGCAGGTGAGTTAATATGTTGTAACTCAGTGAAATGTTGCTTTGTCTCATGTAAATACTTTTTTTTAAATTTTTTTTTGGTTGTATTTTGTGCTTTCCTTTCTTCGTAAAATTGCTGTTAGTACTGATAAGAAGCAACAGGACTAAAAATAGCTAATGTTTCAAAGATCTGTTTTCTTGCCAGGAAGTAAAGAAGATCAGAAAATTATCTAATACAAATTTTTCCTTGGGGATGAAAATGTGTCTTTATGAGATTGTTTATCAATATCACAGCTGGTTTTCCTAAACAGCAGTGCATGTTTCCACTGGAAGTAAACTACCTATTCAGATGTGTGGGTTTTTTCTGTTAATTCATTTCAAAAAGTGTCTTGCATGCGAGCAAACTGAAAACATTTTCACAGTAAAAAAATGTGAAACTGATTTACTATAACAACTTGCAGTGCACTAACTTGAAAGACTTTTACACTGTTGGTTTTGCAGGTTTTAAAAAGTAGAAATTGTTTTAGTTCAGAACAGAAGAAAAGTTTAACATCAAAGTTTAACATCAGTATTAAAAAGTACTTTCTTCAGTAAGTGATTACATTTGACTAACATGGAAAAATGCTGTTTTGTTTCTTGCCATCATTGAGATTTGTTTCATTGACTCATTTTAGTGTGTCACGTAAAACCACTGTAGATTTGTTGTTACTTTTTTAGTTTTGTAACAGAGATACTGTTTTTGACAGCTTATTTCATAGTGTGCTGATATCATAATTTATGTCAAAAGTTTATGATTTTAAACAAAGCTACATTAAAAACAACAGATAGAGTACTTTAAAGTCTGAGAGACTTCAGCCAAAAAGACTAAAATTCAACCAAGTTATTGAATTACGCAACCTTACTCTAATTGCTGTAATGTCAAAGAGGAAAGGAAATACTAACATATTAGCTCCAAGTGTACAGGAAGTGTGCCATAAATCAGACCAAAAAGCTATTTTCTTTTAGCATATTTGTTTAGTTCCTCATTGTCTGAAGAGATAACGAAAATTTTCAATGTTTTAGATATTAAAAGTACTGCTGGATTTGTTTAGTAACTTTTTAAAAAATGAATGCCTCCTTATACATTACTTTTTCTTTATAAGTTAGTCAGAACTAGCTATATTGCATGATACACCTGCTAACAGAATGTTAACACATTGTAAAATAATTGCTACCTCTACCATATTTTTTATTTGATGATTAAAAGCCAATAATAAATTTTTGGTTTACATATGGATCTGTAAATTAAGCTCCCCTGTAGAATATCAGAAATAAGAAAATGAAAGCATTACTGAGTGCTAGGCATCTCATTTCAGATAGACTTTGATAACACATGTACCAATGAATTACCCAGCCTACTTTGACCATCACTGGTTGTTGGCCTGTAAATTAAATACAGTGAGTTATAATATCATGGGGTTTTTGCTGTTTAAGTTGATTGAAATGAAAGCTGTCAGTCTCCTCCTCTCATACAATTGTCTTTGCTTCTTCCTCACGGTAGCAGCTGCTGGTAAATTAACTGGACAGTGGAACAGTTGTCTGTGTGAATACTAACCAGGGACAGGTGTAATTTTTACTGGTTAGATTTTGTCCAGATCACCTTCCCCATTGCCCAGTTAGAGGTATGCTAATCCGGAGGTGATGGCACAGCACATGGATGAGTGTGAAGGGAAGGTAGAAGAGCATTATCACTGATGTAAACTGGATTAAGTTATTCCCTCTAATATTCTGGTAGTCGGTCATGTATGTTACTTTTATGTACGACTTTGAAGTACCACTTCTACCTCTGTGATTCTGTGATAGGCCTTCAGCCTCTCAAGTAAGCTACTGGCAAAACCAGTAGTCCTGACTCTGTTGCACAGACATGGATGTGAAATTATTTTGATCAGCTTACTGATGCAAGTTGGGCTTTCTTACTGCTAGAGTTAACGCAGAGGGAGTGTTGAGGTTGTGCAGGAGGGCACCAAGGATGAGACCATCTCTTTTTGAACAGTATGGTCTTAGGTCCACTTATACCCTTTGTGAAAGGACAAAGTTGTTGGATTTTTTGTTGGTTTTGTTTGGGTTTGTTAGTTTGAATTGAGACAATGCCTAAAAAGTTGACAACTGGGAATCGTTTATTATATTCAGAAGTTTATGCTTATGGCCAAATCCAGGAGTCTTGCTGGACACTTCTAGATTATACATACACCAAGAATCCTACACCAAATTGCCTAATTCCTAGTTGGAAAGGAGATTTCTGGAGCTGGTATTGTTCTACACAGTTTAAGAGCTCAGAGGAGCAAAGCTAAAACTCCTAGTAGCAGCTTTAAGACAAAAATAGTTTTTTATCCAGTGCATAATTTAAACTGAATTATGCTGCAGGATTTTACATTAATTCAAGAGAAGGTTGCTTAATTGTTAAAATAAAATTTCATTGGAAGAGGGTAAACACTAATACAGCCTGCAGGAAATGGCTGAGTTGTGTGAAGCCACACTGAGAGAAGCATCCTTGTGTGCCTGCCTTGTTTTGCATTCTTTTTTTCTGTACCTGCTACTGTCTGCTGTCACAAACTGAGTGAGGGATTTAGATTTTGTTCCTGATCCAAAGCAGCTACTCCAGTATTTTAGGCAAACTATAAATTAGTTTGCTATGAAGTAGATACTCGTTAAGAATGGCTTTCTGAGAAAGGTTCTTGAAAGCAATATGATCTTGGTGTTTATCTCAAGAGGAATATCTGCTTTTTAGTTACTCCTCTGCCCTCAGAGTGAGAGAAGTGTAAAATGAGATGGAATTGCTAGTTAAAAATTTATGGTAGTACTGAAAATGTGCAATACAGGGTTGTTTTTATGGAAAAATATTGAAAACTTGTAGTGAGTATGAAACACATCAGCTGTCATTGTTTAAAAAAAAAGTGTTTTCAAAAGTATAAAATAGAAATTTTCTCAGTGTCTCACAGACAACAGTAACTGTATTTTTTCATTTATTTTACAGAATAAAGATCCCAAAATGTCCCGAGTTGCACTGGAATCTTTATATAGGTTATTGTGGGTTTATGTTATTAGAATAAAATGTGAAAGCAACACTGTAACTCAAAGGTAAGTTCATTATGCAAAGGATTTTAAACTACTGATTGTTGCGAATTTTTTCTCACCTAGTGATATGAGAAGAAATCTTGAAGCCAGCTAAGGGATGCCTTAGCGGAGCAAACAGGGGACCAAAGATTTTGTCTTAATAGGGAAAACAAAAACCTTGATTATTTTGATGAAGAGAAGGAATAGAGTCTAGAATTGTCTTTGCAGGGAGAGAAGATGGCAGAGAGATAAACAGGAAATTTATTGAAGTTAAAAGGCATTAATGGTACTAGAATAAATAGGGTATGAAGCGACCATCACTAAGTGTGGACTAGAAATGAAAAGTTCTCCTTTATGAATGTGCATAATGAGAATTTGGTGTAGTCATTCAGATTTTGCCCCTTCTCCTGACTGTTAGTAACTAGTTTAAAACAGGATCTTGTTCAGTTTATAAATGAACCCGTGATACTGCTCTGCTGCCTGTGACAGCTGGGGTTCTACTTCCTGTAGGTGGCCCTACCTGTCATATGCTTATGTATTATTTTGTGGTAGCCTCACACACTTCCAGATTTGAACTATAACATCTGTACTGTTATAAGGAGTTACTTTTAAAAGGCTTTTTAAACTTCTTTTTGTTTCTAACTTCCCATAGCCGTCTCATGAGCATTGTATCAGCACTTTTTCCAAAAGGATCGCGTAGCGTGGTCCCACGAGACACACCTCTGAATATATTTGTGAAGATTATTCAGTTCATTGCTCAGGTAAGGATACATTTAGTTAGAACTATAATAATAGAATGAATGTTATTTGGAAGAAATGTAAATTTAAGGTTAGTTTTAAAATTTTCCTGAATATGTATAACAAATGAAATAATTCATTGTGTTTCCAATAGTGGCAAAATTATTTTATTTAAACTTCAGTGACTGTTGTATATGAACATTATGATGGTTGGTATTTACATTTGCATTGCATTGGTGTGTGTGTATATAGAGGGATATATATAAGTACACTAATGTAATCAGTATATCCGTTATGGTATTTTTATAAGGGACAAAGCATTAGAACAGTAGCATCCAGTTATATTTAACCTGGAGACTGACCTCTATAGATAGAAAAATATACAATGAATGCAGTAGTTATTATTGCATTATGATTTGTGTTATTTTAGGCGCTTCTGTTATCCTAACATTGAAACGCAGGATACAATCTCACAAGATAAACTCTCATTCCTCTATAACATTATAGATTAGGGACATGTTTTTCTGTCTTAAAAATTGCTTGTCTGTGCTTCAGCTCCCAAAACAATTTGCTTTTGGTCATACAGAGATGAGGTAGGACACAGAACCCTTCACTGTTAAATTTTTTTCTATTTTATTGTATTTGCGTTTTAATATTTTTTTTGTTTCCCAGGTCATCTCTTTATCCCTAATTTTTAGTTTTATAAACCAGTTCAGCTTATTTGTGGAAATGCATTTGACCTGAGCAGAATTGTCTGGGATTTTTTTCAGGAGACATGGTTCAACTGGATCAGGAGAGGAGCTGTGCTGAATTGTATTATATTTAAAAAAAAAAAAAAAAAGTCATAAGAATAAATAGGGAAAAAAGGAATATTTTTTAAACTTCTTTTCTTCATTTTTTAAAATTTTTAAGACAGGATACCCAGCACCTGTGCAAAGCCAAGAAATTGTATGTATTAACAGAAAAGAGATGATCGTATCAATCTATTTTACTTTTTAGGAACGTTTGGATTTTGCAATGAAAGAAATAATATTTGATCTTCTTAGTGTTGGAAAATCACCTAAAACCTTCACTATTAATCCAGAGGTAAATAAAGCTCATTACTTGCATGCCATGAGAACAACACAGGGGGATTTTGGGGGAAAATGGTTAACTATTTTTGAGCCAGGATAAAAGCAGATTAATGAATTTCTGAAGGTATGTTCTAATAAAACTAAAGAAGGAGTTGTAGTCATGCACAATTGCTATTTCATTTCCAGTAAATAAGCTAGCAGCAGGTCTGCAGTTTGGACTTATTTCAACAAAAATTTCAGAAAGTATGAGGTTTTTTTACAGTGTAACTGTAAAACCTTTCTAACAGGAAAGTCATACCCAGCCCTCATGTTTCAAGACCCAGTCTAACAGATGAGACATTTAAGCAATGTCTGTCTTCAGTGTGTTACCGTAGAGATACATCAACTCCTTTAGTGCTCAGCACTATAAAATATCCACTATCTTAGTCTGGGCCAAGTCAGTTTATTTGAGTCAGAGTTGTGGGGAGGCATGGAAAGCTTAAACTTTATTCTTGTAGCTTTCATTACCCTAGTATGTAACATCTAAATAATACCTGTCCTACTGGAACTGTACTGCTGTCTATTTATAAGAGAGGAAAAATGCAATTTGTGTTTTGTCTCTATGATAGTTCAATATTATAATGTCTTCTGTTTTCTCTTTCCTTTTTTTTATCCCTATATGCTCTTGAAGAGGATGAATATCGGCCTCAGAGTCTTCCTTGTTATAGCAGACAGCTTGCAGCAGAAAGATGGTGAACCACCAATGCCAACAACAGGAGTTGTTCTTCCTTCAGGAAATACTCTGCGTGTGAAGAAAATTTTTCTTAATAAAACACTGACAGATGAGGAAGCAAAAGTTATAGGTATGTTGTATTCTTTTGTAAGTTGGCATTCCAGTATGTGTGTTTATATTCTCAGTTGTTCTCAAACAGTACATTTGTGCAACTTTAATTATGTATTTATTTTAATAGTTAACAAGAATCAAATGAGAGTCTGTTATAACATAATTGCTTTGATTCTTTTGAGACAATATTGACCTTCTGGTGCCTGAGATGAAATCTATGGCTTTTCTTAAAGTGTTTTGCATTGCCAGATCAGCACAAAGAAGCATGAGTGCAATTAGTGTGGTAAATAGCATGGCAAGTTTTGTTGTCTTGATGTCACTCTAAAATGTCTCAAGTGTCTCACAGCTGAGTGAAGTAAGACGATTTTGATCCCTGTGCTCTACTGATATTCTGTGAATGAGGTAGTAATCTCTAAAGGGTTGTTTCAACATGTAAAATTTGAACTAGAACTAAAAAGCTTGGAATTGGAAAACAGAAACAACTAATGGTTGCCTCAGTGTTTATGTTCTTTCTGAAATAAACTATTTTCAGGTACCACCTCATATTTGTATATTTGTGTATATATTTTACATATGCATGCATTTCTTTTGACAGTTAAAGTACATGTTTCATGTCATCTGTTGTACATAAGAAATTTGTCCTGAACTGAAAAAGTGGCAAATATTTTAATAAAAATGTAAAAATTAAGTAAGAACAAATGAAAGAGGTAATGGAACTCTTTTGACTTTTCAGGAATGTCCATATACTATCCTCAAGTCAGAAAAGCACTGGATAGCATTCTTAGGCATTTGGATAAAGAAGTTGGAAGGCCCATGTGCATGACTAGTGTGCAGATGTCCAATAAAGAACCAGAAGACATGATTACGTATGTACTGAATGACAGTATTGTCGCTGTCACAGTAGCTTCATATTATTTTTATGCTGTAATGTTGCAGATACCATCATTAATGTATTACAGTAGTGGGTTTTTTACTTGACTAATAAGTTAATGTTAATTTCATTAAAGCTAAAAATGTTTGTTACCTCCTTAGTTTTGACACGAAATTGAAAATAAATGTATATGGTATACTGACGTAGATTTTTCCTGTTGGTTTTTTTTTGGTTATACACTGTTTTTATAGGGGTGAGAGGAAACCTAAGATAGATTTGTTTAGAACTTGCATTGCTGCTATCCCAAGACTGATTCCAGATGGCATGAGTAGGACTGACCTCATTGAATTGCTTGCAAGGTAAGAGAAATGACGTTGAGCTCTCCTTGGATGTTCTTTTTTAAATGCTGCATGTGCATATTTTTCAGTGCACTCACTCTGCAGTGTAAATCCACTGCATACAGATTCCATCCTTCCTGTTCCTGACTACCTTCTGCAGTTGGTCAAGTTTTGCTGGCCAGAGTAGCAGGAGGTCAGTTTATCTTGCAGATCTTGCACTTATTTTTAGAGATAATTTTTTGAGAAGCAAGAATTTATTTCTGGTGCCTTGGGGGTTTTTTTTAACTTATTTTATCTTTTTGTTACCGCTATCATACTTTTCCCCCCTTTTTTTCATCTTTCTGTTGTTAATACTATAAATTTTCATAAAGTCATTCTTGTTTGACATTACCACAATATGAAACAGGCACTTAAGGGAAACTCTTCTTTTTCTCTACTAATCCTTGCTTGTTTTCTCTTTTTTTTTTTTTGATCCAGCACAACCTATACTCTTCTCTCTCTTATCTCAGTTTAAATTGAATGTACCTTATTGGTCCTGATAAGTAAAGATTTTTTTTTTTTTATTCTTAATGCATGAAATGGTCTTGGCACAGAAATACAGGATAACTTTTAACTTTGAAATTATAAATTCATTTTCATATAATGTGTTGAGTTACATATATAGAATGTTAGTAATAATGTGAGAGAATAAGATTTTTATAACTTCTAATTTTGCTTTGGTGTTAAAAGAGATAAAGCATTAATACAGTACTGGGATAAGTTTCTTCTATCATAGCAGGCTGAGACATTTTTTTAAGTATATTTGCAGAGGGATATTTTGTGAGTTTTTTCTCATATCCAAAGTAAAGCTTTAACTGCAAAAATAATCCGTTCTTTTCAATTTTAATTTGAAGAAAAGAACCTGTACATCACAGGATGCCTGTCTACTGAGCTCTGAGGTGGTTGCTCAGTTGCATGCAAAGATGTACCTATGTGAAAGACTTGACAGTCTCTCCTGAAAATTGTTTGTATTAAGTTTTGTGAAACCTTGCAATATTTTGCTATAGTAGAAGCACCTTCTGTTAGTAGCCAGTTTCAGGTCTGTTCAGTGCTGCAAATGTATCTGTGTGGAAATGTTCTACATTGTACAGCAAAGAGGGAAGAGTTAGCACCGAACTTTAGGTGATAAAGACTGATAAAGAGTATGAGTATCTAGGGTGATGATACCAGTATTTTTTCTAAACAGGCTGACAATTCATATGGATGAAGAACTTCGTGCCTTGGCTTTCAATACTCTCCAAGCATTAATGCTTGATTTTCCAGATTGGCGGGAAGATGTTCTTTCAGGATTTGTATATTTTATTGTGCGTGAAGTGACTGACGTCCACCCAACACTTCTTGACAATGCAGTAAAAATGTTAGTGCAGCTCATAAATCAATGGAAACAAGCAGCCCAAATGCACAATAAAACACAAGATTCTCAGGTATATCCATATAAGGTCCTTTGATGTTAAAACACGGTTTGAATCTACATACAGTTTTATTAGTGGGCTTTATTGTTTTTGTTAAGTAATAAAAATTCAACTAACTTTCTTACAGTGCTTGAAAACTTTTAAATATATTATTTTAACTCAGCATTTCTACTAAAAAAAAAATAAAAAAATTATTTCCAGAATCATTAATTCATGACTACAATTTTGCTTACATCAAAAGTCATCATATGTAACTGGAAATAAGTAGGAGTTATTAAAGAGTAGAACTAGGAAAAACCCAGCATTTTTTGGTAGCCAGTAGAAAGAGGTCAAGTAGTTTGATTTTATACAGTCTTTTACATAAGAGTATGCATGTTTTTTTTAATTTTGCCCTCACTGCATCATTCACCTGAGAAAGTGAAATTAGGATGTTCTCTTGGTATTTCTTTGGACTAAATTCAGAGAAATAATAAAAAACCAAAGTGACTAATGTACTGTGTCCTTCTCATAATGAAACTATGATCAGTAGCCAAACAAGATCTAAATATTTTATGATTATTCTGCCATGTCCAGTTATGGAACTATATCTTAATTGTGTTTATTTTTTTTCTTCATTTGCTTAACTTCTGTGATTTTTCTCTTAGCGTGGTGTATCCAATGGGGCTGCCCATACCCTTCCCCTGGAGAGAACCCTTTATTCCAGTGTATTTCACGTGGTGGAAGGGTTTGCTTTGGTCATCCTTTGCAGCACCAGGCCTGCCACCAGGCGATTAGCTGTCAGTGTTCTGAGAGAAATAAGGGCCTTGTTCACACTTCTAGAAATTTCAAAGGTAAGAGTTGATGACCTGTTCTTACGACTGCTTAATGAAACTGATTTTATTTTGACTTTCTTTGAGCTTTTTATGCTTTGTATATTGTAGAGTGATGATGAGTTGGCTATAGATGTAATGGACAGACTAAGTGCTACTATCCTGGAAAGTTTCATACATCTCACTGGGGCTGACCAGGTAGGACTATTTTTATATTAAGTTGGTTTTAAGGTGGCATAATGCTGAAAAACTGTCCCAAATGTATTTTAAATGATAGTGTCACTGTGTTCACGCTAAGTTTGTCAACAGTTTAGCACCACAAAGAAAGAGAAAAAGACAAAAATCTTGATATACATTGTGAGGCTGACACCACCACTGTACACTTTCTGACCAATGGTGTGTCATTATCACCACCGTGTAAACACTGACAACTCTGTCTGGTTTTTCTCATCTTGCTCGCAGATTGCAATTTCTTTGAAGCAAAGGGCACTGCCTTTTTCTGCAGCAATATAGTTTCATAATGGTCGATGTGTCCTTTATCCATGCTGAAAGCTGTAATAACTGTCAGTGAATGACAACTGAATTCCATACTTATGTACTTATCATAAACTCTTAAGTATCAAGGAAACTCTTCTGATTTTAGGTTTAGGAAACAAGTTGGAATTCAGTAGTAAGACATTAAGTACAAATATTTTGGAAAAATTAAATCGTTACGAGTGAAAAGGCCTTTTTCTAGAATTTGCTATTTCCTAATATCCAGCTCCTTCACAAACAGCATGTTTATATAACTGTTCACATTAAGAACTTCTGTAAAAAACCCCCATAAATTACGTGCTTTATCTGTTCCAGGTGTGGTTTTGACAGTGATACGTTATTAGATGTTTAACTGAAGAGGTTGTTACTTAATACACATGGATATTAAGTATTGCCTTGTTCTCTTTTCTGTGCACACAGACTACTCTACTCTACTGTCCCAGTTCAATAGATTTACAAACTCTGGCTGACTGGAATTCCTCCCCAATCAGCCACCAGTTTGATGTGGTCAGTCCCTCACATATATGGATATTTGCACATGTGACTCAAGGCCAAGATCCGTGGATTATAAGCCTCTCGAGTTTCATGAAGCAGGAAAATCTTCCAAAACACTGCCCAACAGCTGTAAGCTATGCTTGGACGTTTGCTTATACCAGACTCCAACTGCTGTCTCCACAAGTGGATATCAAGTAAGTTGATTTCTAAAATAAATACAGTATATTATTTTGGGTATTCTTTCAAGATTTTTCATAATTGTGATGTTTTTATTGTTTCAGTGAGGTGACGTGAAGGCTGTTGATATTCTATGGGTTTAATTCAGCTTTATATAACAAAAAATTAAAGCAGATTTATACCCTGTGAAGATTAATTCGGGCTTTTGACCATGTTGTAGTTCAACAAATTTGAATGTAAAAGCATACATTATTGATGTACAGGTCTGTTCTGGAAAACTTACTCAGCGTTTACTGTGTTAACAATTTTGGAAGCAATGGCATATGCATAACTGAAAAATAAATTCAGTAGAAAACCAAAGTGAAATGTGGTAAGCTTCCTTTACTCTACTGAGCTCTTTTTTTCCTTTTTTCTCTTTTTTTTTTTTTTTTTAATAGCAGCCCTATCAATGCAAAGAAAGTGAATACTACTACAAGCAGTGACTCCTATATTGGGCTCTGGAGAAACTACCTGATTCTTTGCTGCAGTGCAGCATCTTCTTCAAACTCCTCCACTTCCACAGGCTCTGTGAGATGTTCCCCTCCTGAGACGCTGGCGTCTACTCCTGACAGTGGTTATAGCATTGATTCAAGAGTAGGTTCTTCCAATGCTTATTGTAAATAAGTCTACATGTTTTTGGAAATAGAAACATTAGAGCCTATGATAACTATCATGTAGAAACTGGTATAAATTATCTGAAAATATTTTAATACACATAGTTTTTCATTTGTTTAGGAGTGTGTTTTAGTTCACTTTTCCAAATCTGTGCTGTAGAAGGTTTTCTACTTACATTTTTAAGGCAAATTACCATGTAATAAAAGCAGTTACCCAATCTCGAAGTCTTTTCTAGCTGTAATAACGAAATGTTTTGTTCACTGTTAAGGGAGTGTTTTTGCTGTCAGTAGACTTGTGCAGTTCTGAGCAAATAGCCTCTCACTTCAGTAACTGAAACAGTGACCTATTCAGGCGTGATGTATCTTGTTATATTTTCCCAACCACAGACAGTTTTCTGTCTGCCTTGCTTCATATCACCTGCAGATTATTTTTTTCCCCCCTTCTTTGCTGTTTTTTGTTCATCTCCTTTTTGGCTTCCTGTAGAAGGTACAGTAGACATGAAGATAATTCTTGGATTATGGAGCAGATTTTTGGCAGACACAGCCTGTACCACTTCCATCATGTTATCAAGATACTTTCCCTAAACCTGAACAACTGTAGACTGAAAACTGTGATTTCTTTGAGAGCTGCAAGGACCTCTAAGGAATTGGACACCAGAAATCTACTTTCTTTCCCCAAGGAGGGCAGATACACCAAACATGCAGAGCATCTGTATATCGTGTTGAGTCATTCATTGTCATTTGACAATGAAAATTCAGTAATGCAAGAAATAGTTAATACTGCTTTACTATTTCAGAAAATCTTTTTCCATGTCAAATACAAATTTCATTTTTATCATTTTGAGTCACTGATCCAGTGTGAGAAGACTGAGAAATTACAGCAGGTATTTTCATGTCACTATGCGTTTGGTAACTACTTCATTCTGGTTTATTCTGGTTTTTTTTTTAGATTATTGGCATTCCATCCCCTTCCTCCCTGTTTAAGCACATAGTTCCAATGATGCGCTCTGAGAGCATGGAAATTACAGAATCCCTTGTCCTGGGACTTGGCAGGACCAACCCAGGAGCTTTTAGGTAACTGTTGTGTTTCATTATGATTTTTTGCTAATTGATTATGAAGCTGGGGAATCAGAGCTTACAGAAAAAGATTCACTTTTTTTTTTTTCTTTTAAGAATTTTGAAAAAGCTGTGATAACTGATTATCATTGTCTTTTCTAGCATTTAGATTGTTAGAGGTTTGAACGAATTTCATGTGAAGGTCATGCCTGAATAAAGAAAAATAAGTTAGTTGGAAAAAATAAAAAGCTACCTTTTATTGATTTTAAAAGCTGCCCTTATGTTAAAGAACAGACTGTGTGAAGTAACAACATTTGAAATGTTATTTATATTCGAGTTTATTAATGGAAATAAACTCTCCTTATTGGTATTGCCAATTGCTCTTTATGGAGGATGGATGAAGAGTGAGAACATCTGAGGGGAAGAAAACCTCCTGGGAAAGCCGTCAGATGTTCTGTGACAGCAGCCAAACTCTTATAGTGAGAGTTATGAAGTTGTATTATGCATAGCAACCAACTTTGCTTCTGCAGAAAGAACCAGGGATCACTAATGCTGTTGGTCTTCAGTCACTTGTGTCCCATGTTATTGCAGATGAGGAGCAAAGATTGAAACTGTAATGCCAAATCCTCAGTTATCATATTCTGATTTATATCCCTTTATAGTCTTATAATTTTATATAATATCTGACTTTACTCCTCTACTAGGAGCAAAGCAAGACTTTGTCTCATGAACCTGAAAGTCTGTTTAACAGTTTAAATTGTAATTCTGCTCTAAAGCCCAGAAAATGCTTTCAGAGATAATTTCACCTTAAATCCTTGTTTTCTAAATTAGAAATCACTCATTCGGCAAATTACAAAAAAAAAAAAATCTGATTCTCATTAGTTTGACCATTTCTGTGGTCAGAATGTATTTTGTTTCTCGAAACACATATGCTCTCACCAGATGCTAGCTGTAACCCACCCTTCACCATTACAGCTCTGCATTGATTTGTTGTTTAGCTTTTGGTTTTTAAAGCACTTTTCCTCCCCACTTTGTGTATTTACTCAGGAGCTTTTTTTCGTCATAGTTTATATGTATACTCAATCCACTTAAACATACAAGAATATTATTTTTGGTTTGTGTAACTGATACCATGAACTTGTCTAGGTATCTCTTGCTCTCCTTTATAAGTACAACAAATATATTTTTACCTTAGTATTTTGTCTGCATAGATCCTTGCGACTGATCTCCTTCACCTTTCCCTTTTTAAAGAAGTAACAGAGTCTTAGTTTGGCAGAAGGAACTGAGTTCTAGTGGAGGCTGTGGAGCTTCAGAACAAATGGGGAATGTAAGCACAGTGTCAGAACCTGTGTCAGTTTTCAAAGGGAGTGGTCTGACTTCTGTCAGTGTAGTGTCGCTGGACTTAAAGAACAAACTTCACTAACAAGTAAATGCATCATGACAGCGGAAAGAGCGTTGTATGATAAACCGCCAACGTCTTTTTTTCCCCCCTAATAATATCTGTTTGCACATTTTTATTAAACATTTATATGAAAATTAATGACAATTGTTTGTGATAGAAATAAGCCATAATACTTGAAGAATGCAAATTTAGGGGTAGTTGTTGAGACATCCTTTTAGTAATCTGCTTTAAATTAGGAAAATATCTTTCTAGAAAACTTTCCTTTAAAAAACTACAGGTAAAGAAGGAAGACCTGAGGATGTTTTAACTTGTGTTGTAACACTAGTTGCTTTCAGTTGAGATGTTAATTTTTTTTGTTGTTTTTATCCTTTTAATTATTTTAATTCAGGGAACTAATAGAAGAATTACATCCTATAATTAAGGAAGCACTTGAAAGAAGGCCAGAGGTAATTAGATAATTTCCATTATATTCAATATTGTTTTAACTATCTTCTCACAGAGAAGAAATGTTAATTATGTTAGTTATAATTTCTGCATGTAAAAACTGATAAAAAGGTGAAATGTTGCTTTTTTAAATTTTCCAATGGAGAACTTGTTTTACAAGTTTTAGAAGTGTTAGTAGGTATTCGTAGAAATAATAATCTTTGCAAAAACAAAGTCAGAGATGATTACTCAGTATTTTTTGTGGTAACTGTAATATTCTTATAAGTAATAAATTTATAATTACATGTGATGGGAAGGAGCTCTCTTCTGTTTCAAAATGTTACTGGACTAAAGTGTATTTTGTCAGTCTTGCATGCAAGTCATAGGATCATAAAACAGTTTGGGTTGGAAGGGACCTTTAAAGGTCATATAGTCCACCCCTCCTGAAATGAGCAGAAAAATCATCAACTACATTAGGTTGCTCAGAGCCACATCCAACCTGACCTTGAGTGTTTCCGGGAATGAGGCAACTACCGCCTCTCTGGACAGCCTGTGCCAGTATTTCACCACCCTCATCATAAAAAAATTTCTTTTTTATATCAAGTCTAAATCTATCCTCTTTTAGTTTAAAACTGTTGCCCCTTGTTGTATCACAACAGGCCCTGCTAAAATGTTTGTCCCATCTTTCTTAAAAGCCCCTTTTAAGCACTGAAAGGCCACAAATAAGGTCTCCCCGCTGCCTTTTCTTCTCCAGGCTGAACAGCCCCAGCTCTCAGCCTGTCTTTGCAAGAGAGGTGCTCCAGCCCTCTGACCATTTTTGGGCCCTCCTCTGCACCCACTCCAATATGTGCATGTCTTTGCTATGTTTGAGGACCCCACAGCTGAACACAGTGCTCCAGGTGGGATCTTGCAAGAGTGAAGCACAGGGACAGAATCACCTCCTTCAAAATATGTAGAAAGACTGCCATTTGTACTTGCTGTTCTATGTGTTACACATTGTGACAGGAGACTGACTAACCCATTTTTTTGATAATACATGTAATAGCAAACCTAGTATATCTCAGAGTTGCAACAGGGAAAAATTTTGTTCGTTATTTGGTTATAGAAATTGCAATTTGGGTAGCTCATCTTAAAAACTGATAATTGATATCTGATAATTGATGCCAGTTGTTGTAAAGATACATTGCTTTTACATTCCACACTGGTTTTATACTTAGCTCTTCCTCTGCTTCATTTAATTTTGTCTTTCCTCTGTTGAATAGAACATGAAACGACGCAGGCGTCGAGATATTTTACGAGTACAACTAGTACGAATATTTGAACTGTTGGCAGATGCTGGTGTCATTAGTCACAGGTAGGGGTAGCACTGATGAGAAGTTGTTTATTTTTGTGAATTGTCACTGGTATTGTTATGACCCAGCATAACAAGGTGGCAAAATTCATCTGTGAGTTTTAGTATACCATGAAATAAATAGATGTGGTTTTATAAAACTTGGAATTTTATGAAACTGACAGTTTTATAAAACTGGCTTTCTAATCCCTTCTTCTGCCATGCTCTTTGTCACTGTGTTCTGTGTTTTATTTAAAATGGTTCTATCCTCCAGGACATTGCTTTGAACAGACAGTGTGTCACGTTTCTTCTTGTTTGTGTGTGCTCAAACATTGCACCCAGTTGTGCAATTCGTAACTATTCTGTAACTATTGAAGATTAAAGAGGTGAGTTCTCCCTCATCTGGAGTGCTGATGCTAGTTAGCACGTTCTATGCAGAGAAGGCTGCTGCACATTAATATTGGACCTTTTTTTATTTCTGAGGAGTGAAGACTGTTAACTGGATTATTGAGGTTTTTTTTCCTCAGTTTATCTTACTTGTGTGCTTTGAAAGAAGAAATTCTGGCGTATGTTTTACAAGTCTCTTGGAAAGTTTTTTCTATGTGGGTGGAATCGTGTAAGAGCAAGTTAGGCTAGCTCCTCCCATTCTGTTAGACAAACAATACTTAGATATGTATTTAGCAACTTAGTCAGTGTGAAATTCTCAATCTTTAAACAGGCTACTACAGTATATTTCAGAATGCTGCCTCAGAAGCATTGCTAAAATATCTTTCAGCATGCTCAAATTTGCTGTTAAAATCATACTGTCCCTTCTTATCTTTTAAGGTTCTCCCTGATGTTTAAGTAGCGTATGTAAAATATGCCCTAACCACAGTCTTCACCTGAAACTTTGTCAGCTTTGCTATCTGAGGCCAATCTGACTCCGTGATGGAAGCTAACAAACAATTAAGGGTTGCCATAGGCATCACCTTGGCAAGGAGGGAATGCTTTTTAGATGTCTTTAGTGCAAATGTGGAAATGTGGTGGAGGTAGCTGAGGGGAAAGGAATCACCCTTCTACCAATTGTTTTTCAAAGTAGGGCAGCTTTGAATCATGTAGCCTTTAATATCCTTATTTAGTTTAGTACAGACGTCTAGTCAGATCCTAAAACCACGAGGATGGGAAATGAATGTATAAAACAAATAAATGGCTTTCATCTGCTAGTCATCAAAAATGTGTCACAAGGTACCAAACATCTTGACTGACTTCCAAAAATCAATATGGCATATAGATGACGATAGTCATCTATAGTAAATATTTTTTTCTGTTTTACAAATTGTGTGGCTTTGTGGGAGGGGCTCTTTCTTTCAGAGTTTTTATTATGTTTAACATATGTCCCCAGTATAAGAATTAGTTCTGTAGAAGGATTAGTGACTTCTTATAGTGAGGTTTGATTATTAGTTTGCTTTCACTGGAGTTCTTTATTTTAACACTGAAGTAGAAGCTGGATGAAGAAATTACTTTGAAATAAATATTTGCAGTGATGAGGGTTTTTTAAAGATCAAATAAATTGTTTTCAAAAATGTATTTAATTATCATGCTACTTGATTTTTTGAATTTATTTTATTTTTAAGTGCAAGCGGTGGCCTTGATAATGAAACACATTCCCTCAACAACACTTTACTTGAGTATGTTGATCTAACAAGACAACTCCTAGAAGCAGAAAATGAAAAGGATTCTGATACATTGAAGGATATCCGATGCCATTTTAGTGCCTTAGTGGCAAATATCATACAAAATGTTCCAGGTATGTAAAAATGCTTTAGTAACTTCTGATGACTTTATTTAATATGAAGTACATTAAAAAAACAAACAAACAAACAAACAAACAAAAAAAAACAAAAAAACAAAAAAACCCCCAAACAAACAAACAAACAAAAAAAAAAAACACACAAAAAAAACCCCAACCAAACACAAACTAAAGAAAAAACCTTTTTTTATCTGAAGTTTCAGAATACTTTCTTTAAAGTAATTATTGACATCAGTTTTGAATATAACTTTAAAAGCATGAGTTTTAAGAGAGATTTTTGGTACTATTTGGCAAAGTTCTGTTGGTTGGCTATTGCATTTGAATTCTGTAGACTAAGAAATTCTTGTACACTAGTGGCACTAAGCAAGACAATAGTAAACCTACATCCAACTATTATGATGTTAAAATAGTGTGGCTTTACGTGGATTTTTCCTTTTATTTTCATTGTTTGGATCTGTTTCTGTGTTGCATACTTTGTTTTAAAGAATGATGAGAAGAGTGTGTCTAACTTTGAGCTTTTCTTACAGTACACCAGAGAAGAAGTGTCTTTCCACAGCAGAGTCTACGCCACAGCCTATTTATGTTGTTCAGTCACTGGGCAGGTCCTTTTAGTATCATGTTTACTCCCCTGGACAGATACAGTGATAGAAACATGCGAATAAACAGACATCAGTACTGTGCATTAAAGGTATTTTAGCACTTTCTGAATTTTGGAAATAGATTGTTATGTTGACCTTGGTAATGCAAATATAATATTGTTATGTTGACCTTGGTAATGCAAAGGTTATGTTGACCTTGGTAATGCAATATAATGGACTATTCATGACTTAGTGGGTTTTTTTTCTCATATGCTTGCATGTATTTATGACAGTTCAGCTTTTTCGACACTGTGAACTACTGCACTTGCTATAGAAATTTCTTAACATTACTACTGGATGTTCACTTCCTGTGACTTTAGTCCTCAGTTGCCTAAGGTGAAAGGTTTTCATATAAATGTACATTAACAATGAAACTTATGAAATTTAACTCTTCAGTATGTCAGCATTTCAGTATCGACTCTTTCTTGTATTTCAAAGTTGGGAAAACTATGATTTGATAATTTCTTGAATAAAATATTTAACAGATTTTATTAGCCTTGGTCTTCCTCCCTTGACAGGTTAGAATATAGTTTTCTTATATTTTAATGACCTTTGTGAGAACGGTATCTGAGTTACTAAACCTTTTCAATTGGTTTTCAATTGCTTTCTGAAGGCTATGTCCGCTGTGCTGTGTTGTGGCCCTGTTGCAGACAACGTCGGGCTCTCTTCTGATGGCTATTTGTACAAATGGCTGGATAATATTTTGGATTCACAAGATAAAAAGGTAATACAGACAATGTCAACATCAGTTTGCAGCTATCAGTGCCTTCAAACATACATGCTTTAATGAGCTTGCAGTCAGATTTGTCTGAATGCTCTGGAGTGGCTTAAGCTCAAGGCTATTGTAATAGTGCATAGTTTTGCACTGTCCTTTCTTCATGTGTATTCATCCTGTTGAGGAAGGTAATCCCTGATCACCATCTAAGAACAGTCAAACAAAATGGAAGAGGAAAGAGCAAGGGGTGAAACACTTTATATAATTTTTAAACTAATCAGTTAAGTTCCAGTAATAAGCAGATGTTTCAGAAATTTAAAGGAGATGACATTTTGAACATGAACTGAGAGTGTAGAGTCCATTGGGGTTCTGCAGAGTTAGGGAGACCAAGTTTTTCAGCTAAACAGTAAGGAAAGCTTTTGATATAAAGGGTAGGGCGTCCATTGCCCTGTAATGCTCAGATTGCATAAAAATACAGCTCCAGTGGGCTGGTTTGAGTCAAGAGATGATGCAAGTCACCATGTAGATCTTTCCCTTGTATCCAACTGGAATTCCTGTGTGTGTTTAAATACTTTTCTGTATCTGATGCTTTCAGGTCAGTGTACAGTGTAAGACATGAAAATAGTAAATAACTCAAGCTAACCTTGAAACTGAGGGGAGAAGAAGTCAGTAGAGCTCTCTAGTTATTTATATCAATAATTTTTGACTGTGTGCAAGCTGAACATTAAACAGTGTTATCCATCTGTTGTTACTTTAAGCTGTGGTGTCATTGTTTTTGTATGGAACACATTTTATGTTTCAAAAGGTTTGGGTTTATTAAATATGTAGTTCCCTACTTTATACCATTTTGTAAGTTAGTCTTTTTGATTACATATTTAAAATGTCTTCTTTCCTGGAATACAGGTTCACCAGCTGGGCTGTGAGGCAGTCATGCTGCTCTTGGAACTCAACCCTGACCAGAGTAACCTCATGTACTGGGCTGTAGACCGGTGTTACACAGGTTCCAAGCGTGTAGCAGCTGGTTGTTTTAAAGCCATAGCCAGCGTGTTCCAAAACAGGTACTACCACATTTTTCAAAACTTTAAAACTTTTATTTTCAAAGAGTTCTTTCATACAGAACTGCGTTTTTTCATGCCCTAGAGAGAAAAGATCACCACTGTTGGTTGTGTACGTGTTACTAGAGAAACTTTTCAAAATATTATGTTATCTCGTATCATATGCCTTGTAAATTAAACTTAAATTCAAATTTTAAAAAGCCAAATGTAATTTTACTTTTTTTCACACTTGCAATTTATCCCTAGGGATTACCAGTGTGATACAGTGACCCTCCTGAATCTGATACTATTTAAAGCAGCTGATTCTACTAGGGCTATCTATGAAGTTGCTATGCAACTATTACAGGTTTGTAAGCTAATTCTGATTATTTTTTTTCTTTTAAAATAAGAACTGTCCATTAAAAAAAAAATCTGTTTTTGTTTGCTTCTCTTCAGTAATGAAATACAGTGTATTTTTTTTAATTCTGCATTTTGGTACATAGTTAGGCCAGATCCTTACCTGGCACAAATAGATTTCAGTGGAAGTGTGTCTGTTTCCATGAACTAAGCACTTAAGACCTGTATTTTCATAGTACCTACTTTTTCAAGAAACAAAACCTAAATTAAGACTCTCTTGATATGGCCCTGAAACAGATAGATATATATATATATATACCTCCATTTGTCCAAAAGCACCTCAGAGAGAAGCACATTGCTTCCTAAGCCTTCAGTCTGTCTGCTGGGATAGCAGTCAGTTTTGTGGTTTTGGCATTAGCACCTAACATTTTTTCAGCTGTTTGTGTGCAGAGATGACAGTGAAATCTTGTTAGCCATGAAATTTACTTTTGTATATTCCTTTCCGAGGTCATTTAGGGGTAAGCTTAATCTTTCTGGCAGCATTAGTGTTTAGATAAATCTGTGTTGCTTGTGGCTCGGACTGTAAGTCTTGGGGTTTTTTTCAGAGGTTTTAGTTGTCAACTAAATTAAGCAGGGAAGACCCCACTGAAATCACAGCCCTGTTATGTCAGCCCCATCTTTCTTTTCAAGCGGACACCACTGCTTAAGATGAGCCCAAATTGATTTTTCAAGTATGAGGGTTCTTTGGCCTCCTGCTGCATCTCTGCCACGTCAAAGATTATGTTGTTCCTGTCCATGCCTCATAGAGGAGCAAAAATTGATATTGTTTGGAAATACAAGTGTTAAATAGTATTTCATATTTTGTCATAGATAAATTTATATTTAATACGGTATTTTGCGAAAGCATATTTTGGAACTTTATTGCTGGAAACTCATCAAGTGGACTGTATATTACTAGTCTTCTATGAAATTACCACAGTGTTAGCAAATACTTTGGGTGTATGGAGATCTGCATAGATAAGAAACATTAAATGAGAGTAGATTCATAAATTTAAAAGTGTTTTTTTTATGAGAAGATGCTAATAGTAGCTCTATACTTAGCTTCAAATTCTGAACATTATTGTTGTAGATCTTGGAACCAAAGATGTTCCGTTATGCTCACAAACTGGAAGTTCAGCGGACGGATGGGGTTTTGGGTCAGCCTTCTCCTTTACCACATTTGTATTCTATGTCATATTATCAGCTGTCAGAAGAATTAGCAAGGACTTATCCTGAATTGACACTTGCTATCTTCTCAGGTACGATTTCAAAACAAAAAAAATTTCATCAAGTCAAAAACATTGTACAAAATGTGTCATTATTTGATAACTAATTTATATGTAATTCACTGAAATCAGGACATCATCATCATCATAGCTAATGGAACAAAAGAACTTACTGAGTTACAGTTATCGTTCACTTGTGTTTGAAATATATTCAAAGGGAAAGAACATGAATCAAAAATATTTTTATTAATTACTTTCTAGTAACCATGAGAAATCACATTAGAGAAATAATCTGCAGGTTTTTTTTTTTTAATCATTCTTTCATTGTTATCTGTAGTGTGTTCTTGTTTACTGTAGATTGCTTAAATACATAATTCCATAGCATTTTCAGCAATTGCAGAATAATAACCTCTTACATTGATTAAAAAAACCCCACTACTGGGACTACGATGATGAAGAAAAAATTTTAAGTGCTTTTTTGCTGAAGTTAGTATGTTTTATCACCATTACATTATATCAGTGTGGTATGCTGGGCTCATGGTGGTTGTTATTACCAAAACAGTTCTCATTATGGATTTGCAATTCATGTATGTGCCTAATTTTTGAATGGCAGAAGTAAGTCAGAGAATCCAAACAGCTCACCCAGCTGGGAGACAGGTGATGCTGCATTATCTACTGCCATGGATGAACAATATTGAGTTGGTAGACTTGAAACCTTTGCCAACCATTCGTCGGCAAGATGAAGAGGAAGAGGATTGTTTGAAAGACAGAGAAATGATGGTGAACAGTAGACGATGGCTACGAGGAGAAGGCTGGGGATCACCACAGGCTACAGCTATGGTTCTGAACAATCTGATGTACATGACTGCAAAGGTAAGATTAATTACTTAAGCTCTTCATCGTGTTCCAATGGATTGTTCTGTTTAGGGTATGATAAATACTGTTCAGAGATACTTTGTCACCAAACTTTCAAAAATTATTGTTCAGATTTGTTGAGTTACTTATGTATACCCAAAAAATACCATTTAGTTTTGAGGTATTCTGAGAAATAGGTAGTATAAATGTTACAGTAATTGTTATATATAGTAACTGTATATAAGTGATGTTTTGCAATATAGATGCCTAGCTGGATAGAGAATACCAAGTTGCTTGTATGCCTTTGATCTCAAAGTGGAGTTTTGGAACCAATCTTATTGCCAGGAGCTGATTGACTGTCCTTCTTCCTGTAATGGCTACTTCCAACAGAGAAGTAGTACTGGACACATGCAATACTCCTCTCAATTCTTACCATGTTATGTTATATATGAATCCTGATGAGATATCATGTTTTGAGCTATAAATTAAAAACTCTTGTCAGTCTGTGGCCTGTGGAGTTTTATACAAGATTGTCAGCAACTGAGAGGATGGGTCTCTGCTAAATTTCCCGGAATGACAGAATTGTTAAGGGTTGGAAGTGAGCTGTGGAGATCAGCTAGTCTAACCCCTCACCTAAGAGCAGGTTACACAGGAACATGTCCAGGTGGGTTTGGAATTTCTCTCGAGAGGGAGACTCCCAAACCATCCTGGGCAGCCTGTTCCAGTGCTCTGCCACCATCAGTGTAAAGTTCCTCCTCGTGTTGAGGTGTAACTTTTCATGTTTTAGTTTGTGGCCATTGTGACTCATCCAGGGATGAGCAGCACCACCGGAAAGAGTCTCTGGGCACCACCAGAAAGAGTCTGGCACCTGCCTTTGAAATATTTATATGCATTAACGAGATCCCCTTTCAGTCTTCTCTTCTCTAGACTAAACAGGCCCAGCTCTTGCAGTCTGATGTATTATCTGATGTATCAATAGAATAATATAGTTTGTATATCAATAAAATTATATAGTATAGACATATATATTTAGAATTTTTTTTTTTTACATTTATATCTATAAAAGAAAATAGTTATTTCCAGAATGTGTTTATAAACATGAATATAGGTGAAAGCATCACTCTGGAATATTAAAAAGGCAACAATTTGCTGCAGGATTTGTGTCTCCTTTTTCTAAAGTGTGTCCCACTTGACCAGAACAGATCACTTTCAAGTACAATGTTTTCTGATGGAGTTTTCAGAAGATCTCTTTATTTTGTTTTCTAGTATGGTGATGAAGTGGCTTGGTCAGAGATAGAAAATGTCTGGACTACTTTAGCAGACAGCTGGCCAAAGAATCTGAAAATAATTTTGCACTTCTTGATCAGTATCTGTGGAGTGAACAGTGAACCCAGCCTTTTGCCTTATGTGAGTATGTGATATGTCTCTCCTCAGTGCTTGTTGATATTTTAAAAATTAGTAGTGTGTCTAGAAGCAAAGATCACCAAACAAGTCTGAGGTAGGATTTCTAGTATCAAAATCTCCAACCCCATATTTAATGACCACTAAATACTATGAACAAATGGAATTCAGCTCTTCTGTTTGAGTTTCTTTTGGACATGTATGTCAAAATTTCAGTATCAATTTTAGCTATAGAAAATTATTATTGGATTGGCTGATAATAAATCAGGAGCTGTAATTCTATTAAGTTCTTACTAAGGACAGCTTAAGTTCTTCATAGATTGGCAGTTATTTTCATGAGGAAATCTGCAAATAATGTTTGCAGCCCAAAATCTTTGCATGTATGGGTTGTGACAAAAGAATCTTTGAGTCAGACATCCTGGATAACTTGCTTACCATTCATTTTGAGCTCTCATAAAAGGATAGAAATATATCATTGAGCACTAAATAAGTCAAGAAAATATCAGAAGAAGAAATACGAACTTCTGATGTCTAGAGTAATAGCAGCCATCTGCTGCTGCTTAGCAATGACCAGGATTATTTTGCAGAATAAGATGTAGTGGAGAATCCTTAATTGCTGTATGCTTAATAAAATATTGCTATAGTTAGGTGTTTATTCTTATCAGACCATACAAAGGTCTCGAGCTTTTGAAGAACTAAATGGTCTTTCCCATGCTATAATTTAGGATATTCCTAAAAAGCAGACAGATAATATAATAAAATAAAGCAGTTGTTACCCTATGTAGGGTGTCATTCTCACATGACCAAGTATTATACCAAAACAACCCACCAAACATCCCAAGTCCCCTCAAAGCCAATTTTTTTTTGTTTTTGGTCAAAATGTGTGTGAGAGCACTTCAGGATAGCATGAGGAAAAATGTGATAACTGCAGGAAAAGAAGGAGTGTGGAACAGAACTGCGAAGTATCAAAAATAAATTATACTGGAATACATTCATTCCAATGTTGATCTCAGATGTTGCTAAAACCTTTCTAAGAAACTCTTTTGCTTCCTAAATAATTTCCAGAAGACCTACTTTCAGACTTTATTTTCAGACTTACTTTCTTACTCTTGAGATGTGTTTCCAATGCTTGCTGCTGTTGACAGCTGGGAAAGCAATTTTGTTTGCTTTTAGAAGTAGAGTAAGTTTCATGTATCCTCACTTTAGTGCGAGTAGATACTAGTTTTAACAAGTTGTGGTATTCAAGTCTTTTGTATATTTGTATACTTTTTTATGGCAGGTAAAGAAAGTTATTGTTTATTTGGGTAGAGATAAAACAATGCAACTACTAGAAGAGCTGGTGAGTGAACTTCAGCTTACAGATCCCGTCAGTTCAGGAGTCACCCATATGGATAATCCACCCTATTACCGCATTACATCCAGTTACAAAATCCCCTCTGTCACTTCAGGTAAGAATTTACTAACTTTACTGACTTAAACTGGTATTATTGTCAGTTATAAACATGCTGCTATCAGTCAGTTATACTGTTGAAGTTTATCTGTGAATATTCAATAGGAGTGCAATGTTCTGTTTCTAAAAATAAGGTAAAAAATTCATTTTACAAGGTCTGAGTTCTTATTAAAGAATGTGTGAAAGGTTCACATGGAACAGGTTTATCTTAATATATGTGTCAGACTTGTCTATGTTCAGGCCTTGCACTGTTTACCCTCACTATATGACTATGTCTATTTAGTCAAGCAACGAGGAAAATGTATATAATTTTAAATCCACCTAAGCTGTTAAATTTCAAGTTCTGTTATAGACATAACTTGCACCCATAGGAATTGTTTCAAGAGGATTTAAGTACACTTACTTAGGAGAATCTTTTTAGAAATAATTACTAATTAACAATAGATCAGTCATCAAAAAAACCCAGACCCACTGAAAATACCAGAAGTGTCTATCTCATTCATCAGTCCCAGAGCATATTGAGAAATGTGGGGGAAAGCTGTCTTGTTTTGGTGCAGCGTCATTCAAAGTGAGCCACAAAAGACATGGTTGTGAGGAAGGTGTCTAAGCAAGGACTTAACTTTTGTGCTGCAAACTGTAAATATTATGAAGCAGCATGGACCTATCACATGGGGATTATCTAGATCACAAAGTGATTGCATTGGCACTTGTTCTTGAAAGTGTTTAAAGAATATGATAAAAATTCCATGGCTCTTGCACTTAATGCAACTTGGAATAGCAAAGGCTGTGAAGGAGATGTGAAATTATTTCCAGTTGTGGTCATCAATTCAGTGTGATGCTTACAAATTTCTCTTAAAAGGAAATTGATAAAAGCTTTACTGCAGGATGTTAGGTTTTAATCCTTAATCTGTTTGTGGTTTGAATTAACTGCCTACCCAAAGTCCAACTACATTTTACAGATTACTATGAGGTGTAGCATACAGGGAAGAAAGAAATAGATCTCTAGATTCTGCTTCAAAAACTGACCTTTCTACTTAATTTAAATTGAAGACTCAGAGATTTCTGGAATGGATTATTTTTATTTTTTCCAGTTAGTGAAATTATGGTAGCAGCTCACGATCTTTTACTGCACATGAAATAATTTGTATAGCTCAGTTTGTGTTTGTACCAGTCACTGTGGAGTAAACCTGATAAGGGCTTTTGGCAAGGACGAGTAAATAAGGGTCATCATGTAATGCTTAAGGCTACTTTTCTTTTTATTGACTGACTTTTTTCTTTGAACGTAATTCACAGGTACCACGTCTAGTAGCAATACGATGGTGGCTCCCACAGATGGCAACTCTGATAGTAAACACCTAAAAGACAGTATCGAAGAGAAGTAAGTATCTCCTCAAAGAGCAGTTATTAGTTGAATTACAGGAATTCCTGGCAGGTACTGTACTTGCATCTCAGTGACTCCAGGGGGTGAGGCACTGGCACAGATTGCCCAGAGAAGTCAATACCCTGTCTCTGGAGGTTTTCAAGACCAGGCTGGATGGGGCTCTGAGCAACGTGGTCTAGTGAAAGGTGTTCCTGCCCACTAGGAGGGTTGGAACCATATAATCTTTAAGTCCCTTCCAACCCAAGCTGTTCTATGATTTTATGATAATGTAACCAATTTAAAAATTGGTTTACTACCTCACTAGAAATGAACAGTGCCCATGTGTTGCAAGCAAGTTTATTTTCCCTGACTGAGGCATTTGGATGCCTGGTATCAAGATGCCTTTGTCAAGATGCCTTCTATCTACCTTTAAAACAGATTGCTCCCTCCCTAATTTTTGAGCTATTTAAGAACAATTTTTTAGAGAAATTTGCCAGACAGTAGTGTTGCAAACAGCTGACTTAGACGTAGACAGGGTGTGGTCTTGGAGCTCAGCAGTAACTGACTGTAGGTATGCTCTCATTTTGTGTTAAATATGAATAACTAACCTTAAAGTGAAAAGGGAGTAGAGACTCTGTAATTAGCACAAGCAAAAGTATGTGCACATATGGCATTACTGTAGAGTAGCTACCATGCAGTAAATTCACAAACAAGTTTATTTTGTGACAACTTGTTTGAGAGCTTTAATAATTACATTTCTAAGATTTCTCAGTTGGACGCTTTTTCCCTTACCTAGGATAGTTAGGTCAATGTAATTAAAATAGTAAATACATTGATGGGGGCAACCCCAATATTTAAATTAAATTGTGGCAAGTTGTGTAAAAGGAAATCCAGAAGACACAGAGGTGTCATTCAAAATTAGGCCTAACAAGGCCCAGAGTAGTATTTGGCTGCTATGGGGCCTGGAGCTGGAGAAACTTGTAATGAAGGCCGTTTTGAAAGTCTCTGCAAGCTGTAGAGTTGTTTAAACACACATCCCCACCTGCCCCAGGTATATGCTTCTTGATAAGATATACCTTTGAATTGACAGGAGGTGAGAATTTAGAAACTTATGTAGAAACAGCTTGGAAATTGTGCTTTTAGCACTCCCATTTCTCTGATTTTTTTATAATTTATCAGATTAGCGAGGTAAGATCTTGGACACTGTGTGTATATATGCATGTCTCTGCCAGATTGCATACAGATTTTGTTATTTTGTTCAAGAGTGAGAAAAATTTACATGTAATGAGAGCAAATATTTTAATGTACTTAAATGTTAATGAAAATGATTGAACAGAAATATATTTTTTAGTGGAAATTCTCTCTGAATCCCCTTACCTAATGTTGCTAGAGGAGGTGTGTCTTATGCAGCTGAGATCCTTTGACATCATGCTGATTGTCCTTGTAAGATGAATTGTTTTTTGCATAAAATTCTTGGTGAAATACAGTTTTACTGAGATACCCTGACCGATGTTTGTCACAGAATGTCACTTACTAGTGCTGCTTTT